AAAAATGCAGGCCACGTCTTGAGCTCAATACATCAATTAAACCAGGTTTCATCGAAAGAGTGAATTTAAAAGGAGCACTATATATAGTCTTCATTAGGAATTGTCTGAATCTATAGTTGCAGTGATGTCCAAACTTTATCACGATCGGAGCCATATTTCATTTATCAGAATTATTCGAAAGTTTTCTGATATATATATACCAATATATATACATATATATGTGAGCATTAATATATACAAATGTTTCTTGTTCGTTACTTAATCGTTACTTTGCACATATTAATTATTAATACACGCGTCACAGTGTTTCCTTCGTTCATTAATTATTAATAACCTCAGTTTGATTAACGAGTTTGAGACTCGAGATCCACAATGTGAGAACCACATTAAGTGACAAGAAGTGCCACTTGGCTATCATTGACCTACAGTGATGCATTAATCTCCCTCACTAAAAATCCAGAGATCATCCTAATCAACTTCTCACAATCAGTAGTAACCCTAAAGTCCCATTTTCATACGCACCTGTCACCCGCATAGGCCTAACCTGATTCTCTGAAACCATCTTTCAAATTTCATTTGCAACTAATGAAACGAAATAGAAGATACATAACCTGGTCCTCGGCAATTTCGACACCTTCGTTCAAATTCCGTATGAACCACTGGAAGCAGAATCCAAAAGACGCGTCAGACAATTAACACTGAATCTAGCACGGTCAAATAACCGGTGAATAGAAAAGTAGTAGAATCTTCAAAAGTTGAATAATGAAAGACATTTATGAAAGATTTGTTACACGTATATTAAACGAAAAATCGCGAAGACGAGTGATTAGGAGCATAACGTTAAATGTGGATGTGCAATTTCGAATGCAAGTTTTAAGAACGGTCATTTAGTCCATGGTACGTTTAGTGTTAATATTCATTAATTGCCCTCATAGACATAACTTGATATATAATCTTGGATATACAAGACCTAACCCTTGGTAATCTCTGGAACCTTCCAGTACCAATTGCATTTTAAAATGGAAGAAGAATGGAAAAATTCACGTGGTGTTTTTATAGACAGATTTATCGTTCTCATAGACACAACCCGATCGATCTTTAACGATCTCAGGGACCTCCATTGAGATTGTATTTCAAAGGAAGGAAAATAAGAGATCGAAGACGGAAAAGTCCAAGTGTCTAGCGAAACAAACATCTCAAGAAAGCTATCGATTGGCCAGGGCATTTCCTTCTTCCAACGACTTCGACGAAAGCCTTTTCCTCGCGAGTGGCGCTCGCGCGCATGCCGCGTCGACGGAATTCCAGACATCAAGGCGAACCGCGGACCTTTTATTTACGTCCGAGCCCCGTTTCCGATCCGTAACAAGCAGGATCTTTAAAAAATCGGCGAACAGCGTGTCTCGTGGACCCACGAAGCTCACCGTCCGCCTGGGCCACGGTGCACGCGTCTTCTGCAGCCGGTTCGACTGCATTTCATGGTTACCCACACACTCGCGACCGCCACCAACACGCCTGTCCGTTTCCCTCGTTCCGTGTGCATCACGTACACACTTTCGATCTTATATGCAAAACACATGGAAACGATTGAGCGAGCCGTGGACCGGCCCCGAGCCACGCAAGCCCCGACGAAATTTCGCCAGGAACGATTGATGAATAATGGTGTCCGCGTGAATGGCGAGGAAATTTTTGTTTCTGCCCGATCCACTGATCGTTTACACCCATGGACGTTTCGAGTTTTCGATATTCCCTAAAAGAGTTCCAATTTACAGCCGTATTTCTTATTTCTCTCTGTGCCTCCATTTTACTTTTGTATTCGCTTATGTGGTTCCTTTCGGGAATATTTTGCGTTATGGTTGGAGGGGGCTTGTAAATTTGGACGTTACAGATGTTTTTTGGTAAAAAGAAATATCCTTTAACGAGAAAAAATTTTTAAATAGAAAATAAGAAGGAACGTCAATAATTATGGTAGATGAATAAAGATGGGTTCGAACTGGTTGAATAAAAAGATCGTCAAGGGGAATATTTTAATGACAGAAGGGGAGTATTAATATCAATGAACTCCTATATTCTCACTATGCTATAGACAAACACATTTCTCAATTAAATCATCGTTTAATCACATCTCAAAATTTTTCAGTGAAAAGAAAATCGGTGACACTAAAGTCTCCAGTGTTGAAGAATAATTGCAATGAACCCCTATACTTATATTCTACTCTCGACAAACATATTTCCTAGTTAAATCATCGTCTGATCACGTTTCAAAATTTTTTAGTAAAAAGAAAATCGACACTAAAATCTCCAGTGTCGAAGAATCATCGCAATGAACCCCTATACTCTTATTGTACTCTCGACAAGCACATTTCCCAATTAGATCATCATCTGTTCGCACTTCAAAATTTTTTGGTAAAAAGAAAATCGATGATACCAGAGGCTTCAGGAACAGTAGAATGTAATATCTTCAAACAAAGGCAAAGAATTCATTCACAAATTCGTGCGTTTACTGTATCCACAACACGCTCATTTTTGTATTAGACCATCATCTCTTAATTAAAATTAATTAATAACATCAGAAAATCCTCAAGAATATTTTAATAGTAGTTCACAGACGTTTCCTCGCGATCTAACCTAAAAATATAACAATTCATCGATTCGTACTGTTACTATACTCTGACCAGACACATTTCCCAATTAAACAACCATTCGTTTGCATATCAGAATTCCTCAGCTTTCGTTTGCAGCCCAAAATTCCTCAGAATTCCTCAAATGAATCATAGACACCAGATACTCCGTGAACAAAACCGAATCGCAAAGAATATTTCAACGAGAAACCAGGACTGTGGAGAAACGCATGTCCAGAAAAGTATGACATCTGGAAGGAAAAGGCAAGGTGGAACGGGGGTTCCCGAGAAACATCAAGGTAAACATCAGCGGAATAGCCGTGCAGCTACGAGGCTACCTAATACCATCGCTACATCCGAGAACGAGTCGAGTAAATCCAACAAACTCGAGGAAGATATAAGCCTCCAGTTCCAGTAATTGCTTCCTCTAGCCACCCATACGATAATTCTCCGCGAGCCCGCGCACAGGTCGGTTCTTTCCCCGGCACGAGAGGCCCCAGGACACTCCGAGGATACTTAAGATTCCTCCATCTAGCAGCAACGCGTTTCGTTCGGCGCATTAGCCTAGCGCGACTCCATCTGCACGTAGAGAGGAACACGTCCGTCCGTTCGCCCTAACCTCCCCTTCCCGGACACGCCTGGAATCACAATTTCAAATGCCCTAACCGATCCTCCCGATCGCCTGGCCTAACCAGTGGCGGCAGAAGAGCCACGCCATAGTCGTCTCCCAAACGACGCGTGAAGATCACCATTCATGACTTTGGCCCAACGATTCCTTCCAACTGCTCCTTAACACCTTCGCCTAGCTTTGGATCCGCAGACTATCCCGGGTACCGTATATACCCTGTGTTTCCAAAAATACCAGACATGTCTCGAAGATCAGAAATATTATTTTAGGTGATATATATATGTTACAACGTGAATTTTATTTGCTTCTATACCTGGACAGTGTACATAATGTTCTTAATGTCTTTAATATTTTGCTTTTCAACTGGTCATTTGTCGTAGACGAGTGTGTATGTACTAGCAATAAGCCGGCACTTAGGCTTTCAACGGTTGATATTTAGCTGGCGTGCGATGTGTAACACGGATGGACAGGCTGACTCGGTCGGAATAGGTTTGACGAATCAGCGGAGGCTATTACTTTGGATAAAAAGGAAATTGTTGGGAACTTCTCGAGTTCAAAGGAACTTTGACAATGGGCGTCTGGGTGACGGCTCTTCCTTTTTTCTTTCTCGTTTTGGTAATCTTGATCTTGGGTCTTTGATGCTCCACGACTCCTTAATGTCTTTGTCTACGTAATACCTCGGACTCGGGTTTTTTGGCTGGGTCTGTGGGTCGGAGGAATTGCGAGGTCGTTGCGCGTGAATCCTCGTTTCCGCGAAGTGTAATAAAGTCTAACCGTGAAGTGTGGTGTTGAAGGGACACGATTGGATGCGAGATGTTATCAGGAATTAACGAAAATTCGGGAGAAGCCTTGGTAACGATTCCGGCAAAGCGCGTGAAGCGTTGCAATATGGTAAATTTCCATATGGAGAGACTTCGCAGGTTTCCATGTTTAATATTACCGTTTATTATGAAAAATAGACAACGATGGACAGACCAAGAGCAGACTGTAAAAGAGTGTGTCAATTTTGAGAGAGAAAATGAGACGTAAGATGTAAAATAAAAATATGGAAGCACGTAACAGACGTAGGATTGGATGGAAAGTAATTCGAGTATCGTTTGGAACCTCACTGAAAGCCCACGGAGACCTGTCTAACAGTCCGTATGATTTTCTGATGAATATTAATCACGGCAGACAGCGCGCATCATTTATACTGACATTTTGACTCTAATCAAGATTTTCCGTGACAAGCAGCCGGCTATTTTTAGCCGTACTATGATTATCCCGTATAAAGGGATCCGTGGCTCTTCGAACGGGATGTTCGATCTAACGCACTTTGCATTTTTATGTAACATCGATGGAACAAAGGACGTTTAGAAGATCGCTGCTTTATCATCGTATCGTGCATTCGAATCACCGGTCACTGCTCCTGCCACCCACCTTCTTTGTTACAGCGTAGCTCATTTGCAGCGGGGAGCTCAATGAAATTAATTCCTAGACCTTAACTCGTTTCCGTAGGGTGGCCGCTGTTACAAGCATAACGGCAACACCTACTGCCAGCCCATTATCTGATCCCAAGATCCCTACGAGTGTCGTACAATGACCGACCGTGTATCACGAATAATTTCTCCCGAAAATTCACCTTCCTTTATCGAAACGCGACAGGAAAACACGTTTCTCCGACTAAATTCGATTAAACACCTCGTTGGATCATCGATCAAACGATATCCCAAGTCTCCAAGATTCCCACGAACCATTGAACGTTCGAAACTCACCCTCGCCGGCGTTCCTAGATCCCCATGACACTTGGCACACTGGTAAACACAACGGTCGCTCCTTGATCCTCGGGTACGCGTTCAACAAGTTCCGCCGAGTCTCTGATATCCCGTGGATCACGTGTACACTCGCGCGAGCAGCGTTCGACGATCGATTTCGGGGCGAAAAGTCGCGACGAGGCGAAAGAAACGCGGGAAAACGCGGACTGACCGAACGCTGACGAGACGAGCGCGATCCGAGGCCTTCCCTCGCGATGGAAACAGACTTTGGGCCCCCGAGTTGGCCGCTGCGCTCGGCCACAGGACCCAGACCGCGCTGCGCATGCGCCGACCGGCCCCCACTACCGGCCAGCGCCGCGCTGGTGGGGAGAGCAACCGGCAACCCTCTTACGTGGACCTGCTCGTTTTCACGGCGGCCCCGTGCACACCCGATTCGTTCACCTGCGGATTTTCCTGCTCAGGTGGCAGCACCTCACCTGACACCCGATTCGGCCGGTGTTTATTACAATGGCGTAAGAAGGGATTTTTTTACACGCGAACAGGCTCTGGCTTGGCTTCGATGAATATCGAAAGTCGCGGAAGAGAAGTATAATGATTTCTTTTCGCCTTTGGAGTTGTATTTTTTCAGATCATCGCGTGCTTACGTATAGTTTTCGGCCGGATTCGATCGGCCTGTTTCAGGAGTTTGAAATGTAACGGTGAGGATCGATAATAATCGTAAGCTGTTTTTAAAGCATGTGCTAAGAATGTTATTGGAGTACTATGATCGCTTTTTCATTATCCGTCAATTTTATCCTCTTTTACGTCTCCTCGCTCAATTTGCCCCGAACCTTATATTTTATTTAAACACTAGTCAACATAACAGCAATGTAATGAAACATATTGCGATATATTTACTGCAAATTACAGGCTATGAAGTTCAATTACGATTTTTATGATGACGGATCGCCGTTTTCTCGTTTCTCGTTTTCCTTTCTTTTAAGCGACATTATCAACGTGACGACGATGGTACATTCTCACCGTGATTTTGTTGTCTTTGTTTCGCGATTCAGCATCCCGACGTGTAATTTCGAGTTGTCCTTTGCAACTAATGCGGTATCCAGTAATCTTTCGAGCACTCGTGATTATTGGGACCGAGACGCGCCGGATTACGGGCAAACCCTTCTTCGTGAACCTGTTCCTTTTCAATTCCGAACACTATTCACCTGTGAGTATTCTCGTTCGCCTAATCCTGGCGCCGCAGTGGCGTAAGAATGATCCCTCTCGTCTATTTTTCATCTCTGGTCGCCAAAATCTCAACGTGATTCTTCGTAGCTAGGAAAATTCACGTGTCTCACAGAATCCAAGTATAATTTCCAGACACTCGTTTAAATAATCAAAATTCACATAACTGCATTCGAATACTCTTTCAATTATTAATAAATATACGTAGAATTTCGGGATTTATTTAAATGCAATTCTCGACAGTGTTTTGAATATTATTTCTTGAAGGAGTATCATGGTAAATTGAAGCGAAACAGTGCATGGAATATGTTCAGTAAATAATCACGAATTCTTCGAATAAAATTATTTCTCTGACATGAACGAGAATAACGAAAGCAATAAATAGTTTCCCTTCCGATATACCTGACATTCTAATGAACAAATGTGTCACGTCGTGCGTATTACAGCATTCGTTCACGAGAGGTTAATGCATTCAGTGGATAAATTAAGTCTCAGGTGACGTAGAATTTCGTTCGTCTAAACAGAGAATCCCTTTCCCGTTTCGTCTATCCTTGAACCAAGACGAACGCGGTTAATCGTGACAGAGCTATCGTGCTCCTTACACGTTCTTGTCCTTATAAATTACAAATTCTATAAATACTCGTTACCTTGCGTTCCGTAAAATTCATTTTCCCTCTAATCCGCGTTTACGTCATACCCAGAACGATCATTCTATACTTTACGAGCCGATAAAAGCAAGGAACATCGCGCTATTCTCTGGCAAAACCGGCAAGCGGCATAGTAATTGCAGCCATCGCGATAGATCGCCTGTGTTACGTGAATCTTTCGCTCGCGAGGCCTAATTCATCGCTTTTGCATGCATTTTCCACGACTTCGAACCCCGTTCACGGGTTCCACCACTCCCGACTCTCGATTTCCTTAAACTTCGGGTCGATAAAGAAGGAATCAAATGGAAATCTTGGATCAGTGGCGTATGAAAGAGAGAGAGAGAGAGAGAGAGAGAGAGAGAAAAGTATAGAAAGAAGAGACGAGAGAAAGAAAGACAACTGTTATTTCGCGTAAATTTCTCGGTTTCCACTTCTCCAAATTCTCAGGGTTTCCTTAAACTCGGGGTCGTTGAATAAGGAACTAAACGTAAGTGTCCCACGATAAGTATGAAAAAAGGAAGAAGAATTGAGAAAAGAGAGGAGAGAGAAGAAGTGCAACAGTTACTTATTTCGCGTAGATTGTTCGGTTTTTGCGTTAATTTTCGTTCGCATTACGCAAGCTAATAGCAGGGCCCATTACGTTTCGTTTACGGTGATTACGCGTCCCGGCGTTGGGGTAATACATTTTTAGACGTAACCGGGCCCGGTCCGCCATAATGGAACAATAAACTCGTTATTCGCTAGCTTTCCCCGCGTGTATGCTCGATCAACGTTGTAAACTTTTCGATACTTTTCGTCCACGCTTGCGCAATTATCCCGCCGTTCCATGGCGTGTAACGCCCGATTACGTAAAGTAGCGGCCATTAACGTTAATCGTTCCCGACTAACGAAGTCGGCATACTAACGGGCGAATGATCGAAATAGAAACTAACGGGGACTCGTGGAACGTGATTTTACCATATCTTTCCCGCGACCGTAAAGGAAAGTGAAAAGTTCGTCGAAAGTATTTCTAAAATCGTAGGCGAAGATAATAATTAAACGTCGTAATTAATACTGCCCGTTTTCGATCATTTACTCGTGACAATAATTTCCTGTTGATTTAGAACACGAGGGAAGATCGTATTTCTATTAAACAGTCGCCTAGACAAAGATGGACTCGTTCGGAGTTAAATCGCCCGTATCGGATTCAAATTTCGCGCCAAAAGTAGCGCCCGGCTGTCGGCGAGATAAGTCGATCGCCATACCGGTCGAAACGATACCAAACGCTGGAAAGGGCATAAATACTAGCGTGCACCGTGGTGAGATAAAAGTTTCAGTGTTGCAAAGGCGTGGAGATTCGTGTAATAGGCGTACGCACGGAATCGCGCATTTAACGACGTAACGAACACACCCGAAGGAAACTGTGTCCACGTATGTGCAAACAAAGGGAGGAGGAAAACAGTGATCGATCAGATGATTATCTAGCTGTGCCCTCGACCGTGCTGCTCCTTCCGCGATTCTTCGACGATACGTTCTATTCTCGAAGAATTCGCATCTGATCGTTTGAAAATGGCGCGCGGAACGGAGAGGAAACCGAGAGGAAAAGGGGCTAAGCTGCATCAACGGACACTTGGATGCACATCGTTGACCTCAGCGTGCGTTAATAATTCACTCCTCTTCCTTTCGTTCCTTTGCTTCGCTTTCGTGCTCGTTTGTGTGTTGAAAAAATAATTACGACCGTCTCGAGCGACGTCTACCATCTTTGAAATGCTTCTCCGTCCTTTGTCTTTCGTAATTGGTAGTCCCTTTTTACCTATTTTCTTCTTTCCTGGCATTCCGAAACGGTTCGATGGATTTTTCGTTTAGCATTTTAACAAATCCTTTTTCTTTCGTCAATTCCTCTCTTTTCATTATTATTATATTTTTTTATTATTATTATTATTACCATATTATTATTATTGTTATAGTTATCGTTATTATTATCATTTTTACTGTTGCTGCTGCTGCTGTTATTATTGTAGTTGTCGTTGTCATCATATTATCATTTCTTGTTGTTGTTATTACCATTTTTGCTGTTGCTGTTGCTGCTGTTATTACTGTGGTTGTCGTCGTCATCATATTATCATTTGTTGTTGTTATTACCATTTTTGCTGTTGCTGTTGCTGCTGTTATTATTGTGGCTGTCGTCTACAGTATATTATCATTTGTTGTTGTTGCCATCGTTTTTGTTGTTGCTGATGCTGTTATTATGGTGGTTGTCGTTGACATCACATTAACATTTGTTGTTGCTGTTGTCATCGTTTTTGTTGTTACTGCTGCTGTTATTATTGTAATTGTCGTCGCCATCGTATTATCATTTGTTGCTGTTGTTGTTACCATGATTATCATTATTATTGTCAATTTATTTTCTACATTTGGATCAGAATTTTTCTCATTCGCATATTTCCACGTGTTAAATTATCTTTCCTGTCGTTTCTTGGTATTAGTTCCAGCAGTCGAGATCATGACAAATATACAACTGTTTTTCGAAAAAGTAGCTTTGAATTTAATCGAAATTTTTACTGTTATGAATTTCATCGTGGAACATATCATTGTGTATCTATTTATTTTCATCGCGTCAGTTAAATTACTATCTAGATACGTTATGTTCAGATGTTCTGGTTTTAATATTTAGTAGGCGTGTGAACTAATTTCTTCTCCTTTACTACCCTATTACGAGAACCCTCGTGATGTAATTCTCTTCTTTCACGCTACTTTCCAATTCTAAACACCCATGCACATAACTCATTCTCTCACCTCCCTCTCGTTAAACTCTCGCCTCATAATCCTCCTCATTTTCTCTTTTCCCGACAGCCCACATTATCCAATTTCCTCCTCTTCGCAATATTTCTCCGACTTCGTTAACTGTTAAAGCCTAGTGTTAACCAATATTCCACCCACTAAATTCTCCCTCCTCTCCTCGTTCTCGCTACTTCAAATTTTCTTGGATTTTCTTTCCTCACACTATCTTTCAATTCTCATTCCTTCCTATCAAACTCCTACCTCATAATTAATCCTCTTCTTCTCTTATTAACTTTTCTCGAATCTCGTCCTTCTCTTGTCCCTTAAATATTCATTAATTTGTCCCTATTCCTGAATTCCAAATACCCATAAGTACCTCGTAATTAATCCTCTTCTGTTCCAACAACCCACATTATCCAAACACCTGCCCCTCTCAACTGTCTTCCTCCATTAACTATCAACCCTTTGCACTCGAGAGGAGACTCTCAGTCACCATTTAATCAAATTCTAGAGATCATTGTTAATTAATATCTGGAATTTAAAATTGTCCAACGACGCGTGGAATATCGAGGTAAAATAATTCTATATCTTACAATTAATTTGCACTTCTTAGTTACCGTTTTGAAAATATCGTCGACTTTCTGGCAGGAAGCCTTCGAATTACTATGTTTTTGTAACGAAAAGATCGCCGAGTGCAAAGGGTTAAAACTACGCGTTGCTCAACTTCCATTCCCGTATTAAATTCCCTCCCGTCTCCTTTTCATTCTCCCCTGTCCGCTCCTCTGCTCGTCCCTTTATCTCCTCGGAAAGTTTCGCGTGCAGTTCGAGGTGGAGCGCCGACGCGCCATCTTGTCACGCGGCGCTGCGAGCGGTCGCGGTAATGGCGGAATAAATTCGCGCGTGCTCCAGGGAAAAGTGGCGCATCGCGCGGAGAACAGAGTAATTTCCGGACTGGTCGATGCACACCGGCGAACAGGACAGAACAGTAGGAAATGCAGTCACGACTGCATGCCGGTACGTGTTGCTTTACGAGCTGCGAACCAGCGCGAAGGTGACTCGCTGGCGAAATTTACGATCGACTTATCGGACGTCGAACCGGAAGTAGCGGGACGCGACTCGTTCGCTACCGTCTTAAATCAGGGGCTACCGGGACACGCGCTTTGGAAATACGCGAGTGGATTTGATATTCAATAGAGGGGAGTTTGAACAATGGCGAGGGTACACCCTTATTCAGAAGTATTAGGAGATCCGATGGTATCGCGCGAAACGTGATATTCGAGCAAGATTAGCGCGCAGAAAGATGGATTCGTGGAAATTTCGTACTCGTATAAGATGGTAATCAAGATGGCGGAAAATACGCAAAGTTTTCGAGGATTAGTGAAATATTATAAAGATATTCGTAAAAATTCATCTGGCAAAATTGTATACGTATAACGAATAAAATTAACCCCTTGCACCCAGGAAGCACCTCTCAGTCACCATTTAAACAGATTCTAAAGATTGATGTTAATTAATATATCAAATTTACAATTATCCAACGATGCGTGGAACATCGAAGTAAAATAATTCTACGTCTTAATTTGCATACGATTTCATATTTACCGATTTCAAAATATCGTCGACTTTATGGCAGAAAATTTTCGAACTACTATTTTTCAGGAATGAAAAAACTGCCGAGTGCAAAGGGTTAAGTATATATAGTAAAATAATATAGTAATATAGTAATAAAATAATATAGTAAAGTAAAATTAAATATATTATTAGAATATTGGATATACGAGTTTCCTGTTGTTCAAGATTTTAGATAGGATAATAATTTTGGAAGATTAATTATTCTTCGGTGATAGTTTATATTTATATTTTTAGCGAATATATTAATATTTATGAACGATATTAATATATCCAGGATATATATTATTCGGTGTATCTAATTATCTAGGATATCGTTTTATTTTCACGCGAATTATTATCACTGGATAATTATTGATGCCCGGTAATAAATTTTCAGTAGTAGGTAAAATTAATGCAAGAAGAAAATTCGAACTGGTTTCGCTCGGTACCTGGATGACCAGTGTTCAAAGTGATTCATCGACAGGGAAACCATCGATTCCTCGGGCGTCGTTGCACATGCACGTGCACGCAGCGTCGCGCAAGCGGCAGCCCGACGTGGCCATTGTTCCAAAAGAATTCGCGCACGTGCGTGGGTGTGTCACGTATGCGCGAATGCCTTGGAATTTTAAGCGAACGTAGAAAACGCGTCGCGTTGCCCGCGATCGAGAGTGAAAATCTCTGTTGGATGGAAATTACGAGTGGAGTCGGGGCTCCGTTATCGTCGCGACGCTGAACGGTTCACTTGCACAAGTTTAATGCAATGATAGCGCAATTCGTCATACCTGGGTTTTAAAATTTCCGTGGACTTTCGAATTTAAAAGTAGTCACGTTTTCGAATTTCTAAATTTTGAAATTTTCAAATTTCCGAATTATCAAATTTCCCTATCGGTGTTAAAGAGTTTTCAAGATTTCGGATTTAGGAATTTGTTAATCTTAAATTTCTTAATGTCGGAATTGTCGAATTTTTTCATTTTCAAACTTTCGAATATTCGAATTTTAATTTAATTTTTACATTTCCAAATTGTTTAATTTCAAATTTCCGAATTATCAAATTTCCCTATCGGTGTTAAAGAGTTTTCAAGATTTCGGATTTAGAAATTTGTTAATCTTAAATTTCTTAATGTCGGAATTGTCGAATTTTTTAATTTTCAAGCTTTCGAATATTCGAATTTTAACTTAATTTTTACATTTCCAAATTGTTTAATTTTCAATTCTTCGAATTTTAAATTTACTAGTTCCGGAATTTCCTGAATTTTTAATTTTTAGATTACCGTATTTTCAAGCCTTCGAATATTCGAATCTTTTAATTTTCGCATTTCCAAATTTTTTAATTTAAAGATATTCGAATTTTTTAATTTTTATTTCGTCGAATTTCAAATTTTCTAGCTTCGGAATTTTCAGGTCACCGAATTTTCCAGCCTTCAAATATTCGAGTTCTTTAATTTTCACGTTTACAAATTTTTTAATTTTCAATTCTTTGAATTTTAAATTTCCTAATTTTTTAATTTTCAGATTACCGAATTTTCAAGCCTTTAAATATTCGAATTCTTTAATTTTCACATTTCCAAATTTTTTAATTTAAAGATATTCGAATTTCTTAATTCTCATTTCTTCGAATTTTAATTATCCTAATTTTTTAATTTTCAGATCACCGAATTTTCAAGCCCTCAAATATTCGAATTCTTTCATTTTCACATTTCCAAATTTCTTAATTTAAAGGTATTCGAATTTTTAAATCTCCAAATTTCCTAAAATCACAGAATCATAATACCATTGTTCGAACTTCTCGACTACAGAATAATTCACTTTTCCTGTTTCCTTTATATCCCTTTGCGATCTAACGTTCAATTAGCACGAAACTGCTAATTGCAGAATTATGAATCGCATACACGTGATACAGAAATATGAGGCATTTAAATACACAGTTGCGGGAAGTACGAATATTTTCGGAGAAAGAAATTTGTTTTCGTGTACCGATGGAAATGATATCAGCGCAGATGTGAAAGTTGCAGTTTAATTAAACATAGGATTCGAATAATCTGAAATCGAGGAACTATACTCAACATCGAAAGCAACGAACAAATTTCATCTACAATATCCACCCATCGACAACGGAATCCGTTCCTTTATTAAATAAAAATATTCCTTTTATTAGACTCGTTGAAGCACAATTATTCTATGGTATCTAACATAATCGAAAGGACATGATCGACGAAATGCGTCGACATAGCGATAACAATTAAAATCCTTCGCGAGTGTATGTACAATCCATTCATGATTTTCCTTCATGATTTAATGAAATTCCTCGAAATTCCCCTCTTCCTCGAAAAGGCCTCGTTTGTACATGAGATCTCTGCTCCAGGGTCGTGCCTCTCATCGACTGTGCTCGAAAGCCCTTCAAACATTTACAAAATGAAATTCCTTCTCGTAAAATCAACCATCTTCTTATCTATTGCCTAAGTGAACAGTGAAAAATGAATTGTTCCATTGAAAATCCTTCTTTCGTTAAAAATGGCAATTTTTAATCGATCGAAGCTTAGAAATGCACACTGCATCTTGAGAATACTGTTTCGTACGTCTGTGCCATAGATGCTGACTTTGCCTTTCATTTTATTTCTTCGAGTCCGTCAGTTCTTGTATCTGGAACCGTAGTTTGGACAGAAGCTATTTTTCCTTTGGGAAATGGAAGAACGAGTTTTCCTTCTTTCGCGAAATTCGCGAGAGAACCGTGTACCCTAATTAGACAGGTAAATAGGAACATTTGGGACTCTTTCGTTGAGGTGATAGCTACCTGTTGATTAGGTTAATAACTTCTTGATTAATCGAAATTCGAGTAACATTAATTCGCGAGGGATCTCTTGTGTTGGTATAGTAGAAAGTCCCTAGGATGCATTCGCATACTCGTCACAAGCCTGATATTCCTACCCTAGGCTGAGAATATTCTTCGCCCGACTTTTGAAACAATCCAATCTCTCGATTTTATAATAATTCGTATAATTTCGAGAAAAATTGCAATACGAAAATAAACTAACATATCATCATCATCGGCAAGTAGATTTTTATAATTGTCTCTAGATTGCGAAAATTTTCATTTAAAAAGTACAGAAGAAGAGCTAGATACACTATAGCCAGGATGATATCTAATCATCGACTTCCCTTGCGAAGTGAAGAAATTGAAGGGAACATCGTTTAAAAAATGACCGTTCAGCAATTTATAAAATTTCTACGATTCATACTATTCATACTTCTAAAAATGACTAATAAAATTGACAATAAAGAAGTTCGCAAGCTCCATTAATTTTATAGTAAAATGAGAAACCTGACGCATCAACGTACTTCTAGCATTCGAACGTTCACTCCTATGTCGATCATCGATCATTGATAGATTCGCAAATAATCATCGACTATCACTGCAACGAAAGAATGGACGCTGTCTTGGAAAAGCAGTCAATCCTCGCGAGGATCAAAGGGACTGAACCTAAGGGGATTAGGTTCAGGAAGCACGAGAGTACTGTGGAGCACGACCCTGTTCGAGATTATCCGTGTGTCACCGGAAGACGGCGGCCATATCACGTGGTCATCTCCAGGTACCCTTTCGCCTCGATGGAGCCGTAGCTGTGTGAATAACGACCGCTGTAGGACGCCCGGGACCACGCGCCAGCCCTGTTCGAGTAACTGTTGCAGACGATCAGGGAATTCATGCCGCTGGGCCTGTCGATCGGCACGCCCTGACCGCGAGATTGTCGAAAGCTTCCGCTTCGCGAGTGCAGGCTATCCGTCAGAGGCGTCCTCAGATCCTCCGTCGCGCCGATCTCCGTGTACGGCTTGTGGCTTCGAGTGCATGTGCTCAGGTACACCGCTGCCATCACACCCTGGAAAGTCACGTCGTAGATTTAATTTATCTGATTCGGAGAAACTGGTTGAAATGGTGAGCTGAGAAGGTTCAGGGGTGCTTTGGGATTGGGAATTTTTGGTTTGTTTGTGTTTGATGTCGTTTACAGGATTTGGTGGCACTGTGCTGAGTCTAGGGGTCCTTTGATTGAGATAGGTGAGATGGTCTGAGCTGGTCTGTGCTGAGTCTAGGGGTCCTTTGATTGAGATAGGTGAGATGGTGTGAGCTGAGAAGGTTCAGATGTGCTTTGAGGTTAGGAATTTTTGGTTTGTTTGTGTTTGACGTCGTTTGTATGATTTGAAAGATTCGTGCTGGGTCTAGAGGTCCTGTAATTGAGGTGGGTGAGATGGTGTGAGCTGAGAAGGTTCAGATGTGCTTTGAGGTTAGGAATTTTTGGTTTGTTTGTGTTTGACGTCGTTTGTATGATTTGGAAAATTTGTGCTGGGTCTAGGGGTCCTGTAATTGAGGTGGGTGAGATGGTGTGAGCTGAGAAGGTTCAGATGTGCTTTGAGGTTAGGAATTTTTGGTTTGTTTGTGTTTGACGTCGTTTGTATGATTTGGAAGATTTGTGCTGGGTCTAGGGGTCCTGTAATTGAGGTGGGTGAGATGATGTGAGCTGAGAAGGTTCAGATGTGCTTTGAGGTTAGGAATTTTTGGTTTGTTTGTGTTTGACGTCGTTTGTATGATTTGGAAGATTTGTGCTGGGTCTAGGGGTCCTTTGATTAAGCTGATCTGAGCTGAGAAGGTTTATTGGTGTTTTGAGATTGGGAATTTTTGATTTGCTTATGTTTGACTATGTTTATATGATTTGGAGGAAGTGCGCTGGGTGTAGAGGTTCTTTGATCGAGGTGGGTGAGATGGTGTGAGCTGAGAAGGTTCAGATGTGCTTTGAGATTGGGAATTTTTGGTTTGTTTGTGTTTGAGATGACTGAGGTGAGTGAGATGGTGTGATTTGAGAAGGTTTAGGGGTGTTTTGAGATTGGGATTCTTGGTTTGCTTATGTTTGACTACGTTTGTATGATTTGGAGGAACTGTGCTGGGTCTGAGTGTGAACTGAGAAGGTTCAAGTGTGTTTTGAGATTGGGAGTTTTTGGTTTGCTTATGTTTGACTACGTTTGTATGATTTGGAGGAACTGTGCTGGGTCTAAGAGTTCTCTGATTGAGGTGGTTGAGATGATGTGAACTGAGAAGGTTCAAGTGTGTTTTGAGATTGGGAGTTTTTGGTTTGCTTATGTTTGACTATATTTATATGATTTGTAGGTACTATGCTGGGTCTAGGGATCTCCTGATTGAGGTGGGTGAGATGGTGTGAGCTGAGAAGTTTCAGAAGTGCTTTGAGGTTAGGAATTTTTGGTTTGTTAATGTCAGTCTTCATTTATATGGTCTGAAGGAACTGTGATTGGTTTAGGGGTCTTCTGAGTGAGGATATTGAGATGGTGAATTGAGAAAGTTCAGAGGTGCTTTGATGCAGGTGATTGTTATGTCCAGTTTGGGAGTTTTTGGTTTATTAATGGTAGAGTTGACTTATCTGATTTAGGGCAACTGTGTTAGGTCTAGGGATCTTCTGATTGAGGTGATTGACATGGTGAGGTGTGAAAGTTCAGGAGTGCTTTGATTCAGGTGGTTGTGATATCCACTATTAATTGTGATATTGATGATATTGTGTGAAGTAGGTATGATATTAATATTAGATGTGATTTGATAATATTAAGTGTTCTTAGATATAGTAATAGGTACAATGTTAATGTCAATGTCAGTTTTTGGAAGTTAATAATATAATATTGTTGTGAATGTTGTATTACAATATTTTAGCCTCTAAATATTTATATATTTAAGTTTATACTATAATATTTAGAGGTGGTTGTAATATACAGGCTGTATATAACAGGCTGTATAATAATACATATAATTAATTAGGTAAAACATTAACATTAACATTAATAATCTTTGAAGTTAATGATAGTCTGTAACATGATATTTTCATCTTTGATCTTATTAGTTTTTTAATATCAGTATCAGAATTAATGTTAGTTAAATTAACAAATGCTGACTTCGTACTGAATTATTGTACACTATTTACACAGACTAAGACGTGATTAATGATCTATTAACGTTTAAAAGCAAATGATAAATTTTTCGTTATAAAGACTGAATATTTCTCGAAACCCAATCATTCACGATGGAATTTCCTGAAAGTTTACTTCTTTGATTAATCATTACTTCTGGTTGGCAAGGGTCGGTAATTTTCTTTTTTCCAAACAAGGGGAATCTCCTGAGAAATCAACTTGGCAACAGTATTGCAGAGATCTGAACGCGTAATAGTTAGGTGTCTTTAGAGATTCTTGGAATCTGTCGTTAAGACTTGGATCTAATGGGAATTTGATTCGTACGATTATTCTGTTGGACTTGCAGATTTTTTTCACTCGAGTTTCGCCATGAAGGATCGCTCTCGTTATCGACTAAATTCCACGTGAATTTCATTTTTATTCTATGAAATATATATCTTACCACTAGCACGTGAAGTATGTCAATGAACACTGTAGCATTTCTGAACCCAATATTGTCCATTAAAATTCCTGCCACACTGGGTCCAATGAAGGCTCCAAGAGCAAACGTACTGGTCCACAGTCCACTGATTAGACCATACGTCTCCAGATTATTTGGGAACCCGTATTGTCTAGACATTACAGAAGCCATTCTTAATCCCCGATTCTTAATAAATCTGTTTTAATTTATATTCATCATCATTATGTACATTAGATACAATTGAAATGACAATTTAAAAACGAATAATTTAACTTTTCCTAACATGTAACTTGGACGTCATATACTAATTAATATTATGTACTATATAGTATATAATATTAATAGTATATACTAAGTAATGTTATTTCCTATGATATAATATTAGTATATTATTGTCAGTATACTAATATTATACCATTATTTTATTGTTGTATTATTATCTTATTATTATTGTCATTATCAGAACGACTGACCGTAATTAATATTGATCTCTGTCACGGGGGAAGGAAAAGAAAAATAATTAGAGGGTGAGAGGGGGTTAATACGTGTTATTCGAGGAACTATAAATATCGAGGACAAGGTAGACTAGGTAAAAAATTTATAATTTGACGGATTCACGTACATCGATGTCCTCAAGGCATCCGTGAAACTGGCAACCAGTTGTGCAGAAATACCTAGGCCATGAACTACCAGACCACAGATAGTCAACCACAGCGAAGTCGAACAGGGTATAAATGGCGCTGGACCAACTAAAGAGAATCCTACGACTAAGAGTATGCAACCTATTACAGTGGCCACCTAAAAATTCACAAAAATTAACATTAAAATCGAAATATTACGAATAATTGTTTATTTATATATTATTTAATTAACGTCAAATTTATCACGAATGGTGAAGTAATTAGTGGATGAAGAAATGAAAGAAAGCTCCCAAAACAAATTGAAAACAGGCAGATATTGAAAAATTGATTACACGTATATTAAAAGAAAAATCGCAGAGTCACCAAAATAATAATTTGAATACCGAATTTTTAATTTTTAATCGAAAGTTTAAAAATGGTAATTTAGGTAAAAACCATGATAAGTTCAGTGTTAATTATAATTTTTCTTTTTCATTGTAGCTAAGGATTCTTTGGTCTAATAATTTATTAGATAAAATTTTGAAAGATCACAGTAGCCAATTAAGATGATATTTAGAGAGAATGAACCGTAAATCTAATATTTTAGTTTTAGTTATTCGTTAATTTCCGAGCTATTAATAAATATTTTAATACAGTACATTAAATTGTACTATACTTAAGTTGCAATTTAAAATTCGCGTTTTATTTATACCCAATTTAATTCCTTCTCGATTCACGTATTGAGGTCTGTAATTCTGAATTGTAGGCTATTAATTTATTAACAAATAAATAAATATTGGATTCTGGATCATTATTTCTTCCTCAGATATAAAATCTTTCCTGAAATAAGTAGATTTACGAGTGATTAGAGTAACATTTGCACAATTACTTTTGGATGGAAATGCTTGTCGCAGAGCCAGCCCCAAGCAGGGGCTGCAGTGGCGTAAACAGCACCGTTAATGACGAACATTAAACCCAGGACGACGGGGCTCAGGTTGAATTGCCTCAAATGTGGTTCTAGAGTGGCTTGCAAAAATCCTATGCTCATGCTAGTCGCGATTATAGACGACGTGGAGATCAGGACGCCTGGAATTTTCAGAACTTTCGTCACACCTGCAAGGATATTTCAGAATCGTGGTATTAACGTGTCTTTGACATTTTTAAACAATTATTCATTTATTTATATTTTTTTCCTAATTATTGGGATCTTACCTCCTTTACTGTGAGCTGTTTGATTGTTGTTGGTATGAACTGGTAGGATGAAGATTGTCATAACTGCGGTCGTGAATAGAGCTGATCCTAGCACAACGAATGGCGTCACGTATCCACCGACCTGTTATTAAATTAAGAAATATTAATATTAATAAATATTTTTCATAGGTATTAAAATTTGGAATCTCAGAATTTTAGCTTTATTCAAGTATTATTTAATTTTTCAAGAAAATAGTATCAACTTTCTGTCAATTTGAATAGGAGATTAAAGAAAATATTAAAATAATAATGGAAAATTATGTAAATGGCTTTGAATTATATAAAATTAATTATTCTCTTCTCTCAACTTGATCTCTATTTTACCAGTAATAGTACCATTTTATTGCTAAATAAATAAAACGCAATTCAGAATCATTTCTCTCAGATTTTTGGCTTACACTAAACACCATGCCATGGTAATTATTTTGAACAAAACTAAATTAAACCAATTATGAATCTTCAATTGAAAATATCCTAAAAATTATTGAATAGTGACCCCTATAATCATAAACCTTCACCATCAGGGGAACTAAATCATCTTGGAAAATTTTAATTAAATCGGTGAGTCCAAGACCTTACACATTCTCTTTATTTTTACATCATTTTGACAATTACCAGACACAATTATTGTCGCAATGGAAAAAGAATCTAGCCAAGAATAGTCTCATTTTATTTCTAAATAAATACAACGCAACTCAGAATCATTTCTCTCAAATTTTTGACTTACTAAACACCATGTCATGGTAATTATTTTGAACAAAACTAAATTAAACCAATTATGAATCTTCAATTGAAAATATTATAAATAATCTTAATAATATTATAATATTATAAATAATCTATTATAAATATCTTAAAAATTATTGCGCAGTGACCCTTATAATCATATACCTTCGCTATCAGGGAAACTAAATCATGCAAAATTTTAATTAAATCAGTGAGCCCAAGACCTTGCATTCTCTTTATTTATACATCATTTTGACAATTACCGGACACAATTATTGTCGCAATGGAAAATGAATCTGGAAAACTCCGACAGCTCATTGTCATCTGTAAACGGATTCTGAAAAGCCCATTAACCTAATCTCTCCTCAATTGCATCCACGGGTTCTAACTACTTAAGACCATTAACCGGAGGCCTTGGCCATTTCTAGCAGAAAGGGTCAAACGAAAGGGAATGATTCATAACGCGCGGGCCTTAATGCGTTTTTGAGGAAAAGAGCAAACAGACGTAAACATTTCCGAGCATATTGGCTTACCTGATAAAGCGCGCCGCCCAGGGTGGGCCCAACAATCAGGCCCAGGCCGAAAAATGTCTCCAAGCTGGCGAAAGTGGTGGCCACGTTATCCGGGAATTCTTTCGCGATAATGGCGAAGCTGGCGGTGAGAAATGCCGCGTTTCCCATCGCCTCCACGATCCTAATCACGAACGAAAGGACTATGAAGGGATAATGGCCGTTCACCTTGTCCAGCAGACCGAAAAAAATGGCGCAGGTCCCTGACGTCAGGATGCCGCCGTTGAACAACAGCTTCGGTCCGATTCGGTGTAACTACGAGGGGCAATTGCGAAGGTACTTAGCTTGAAAATTCTTGGAAAAGGTATTCCATTTAGCGAAACTTTTGGCGAAATAAATATAACTAAATGAAAATTCATTTGAAGCCAAAATAATATTTATTAGAATAATAACGTTAGAAATAATTTTGTTTCTATTAGTAATATTAGGACTAATTTTCTATTATAAAAATTCGAAATTTTCTCGGGTTCTTTGATTTTTGTATTCTCAAATATCCGGATTTTTTAATTTTTAGAATAATGTAATTTAAAATCAGTGAGTTCAATTTTTTGGTTTATGGGAAGATTCGTATTTTCTGCCATGGTTTACGTGTACTGGATTATCTAAGAATTATGTTGACAGTGAAATCTTTTTTCTGTTGGATTTTATAAATTAAAATAGAAGTGAGAAAATCGTGTTACGACTGCAAATTGTGGAACGAATGTGTCCTGAATAGAAATGCGAGCAGTGGGAACAGAATTGTTGTGGAAGCCAACGAGTTATGCGTTATCTCCCAGCTCCTTTATCCCCCAGATCACGTTATTCTTTTTTTCTAAGCAAAGATAAGTTTTATTGAGAAAAAGTCTCTTTCTCGATAAAGATAAGACGTTTATAGTTCTGTGTACAGATTAAACGACGAATCGATTATGGTCGGCTACTTTTCTTTGATGACCGATTCGTTACATGTTTGATTAATTCCTTGCTTCATTTAGACACAAAATGGACATGGTTGTGCGATGTTTCGCCAGAGGAAAAAGAAAAACAACGTTGATAAGTAGCAATCGCCTAAAAATAGGCAAACCTCCGACAGTGGTGTATACAGAGCAGCCATATTTTTAGGTTTCTCGTCGTTTCACTTATTCAGAGTGAAACTGAATTTATTCGATAAATTTATTGTCCTTCAGTTTTCTAATTTTCATAAAAATCGAGCTAGTAATTAGATGTATAATTTTTTAATATTATTATCTTTTTAGTTAAAAAATTTTCTGAATTATCTGAATTTTTTAAATCCTCTGATTCTTTGAATCAGTATTTCTTTTTTAGAAACTAAGGACGAATATAGAAATTTAATATATCGTGTCTGACTCTTTTGTTTTCCTCGTTCAAAAAATTAAATCAATTTAAAATTCTTCCCATTATCTTGTTATACATTTTATCAGTACGAAAACTCACTTCTAGAATCAACAATAATAAAATAAATTTATCATTCAATAAAATAATTTTCATCATCAATAAATTCTAAAGAAATTAAAAGATTAAAAGTAGTCCATGAATGAAATAATTATTAACACCAGAACTATCTTAATTTTAATAATTACGTTTCAATAATATAAATATATTCCACAGCAATGAGAATATATTTATCTAAAATATTTATCAATAATTAATTTTGTAAATAAGACTGAATATCAATCTTCGTTAAAAAGAATTGAAATGTCTTAAATCGGTCATTTTGAAGACTTTGATAGTTCTGATGTCAATATGTACATGATAATTGTTTCCAAAATTTGCCAACAATAAATAATAATAATTTCACTCACGTATTGTCCATAAACGGGGCTGATGATAAACACGATCAGCTCGAAAATTCCAAAGACCAGTCCATACTCCGAGGGTGATGCTCCTTTCTTCTCAGCCTGCGAACAAGAAAACTCTCGTTAGTTTAATTCTAATACACCCACACACCTCCTTTTGCCTTCGATTTTATTTCGAAGATTCAAAATGTTAGACGACTCCTATGTTATTGCTACGCATTTCGTCGCATTATCACGCGTTCGACTGCAATTAACGCTGGCCATGATAAATCCCGATAAACTTTAGACACTTGAAGCAACGAGGAGTCACGAACGCGGATAGGAAACGGCTCCAGAGGTTCCAGCAGGCAAAGAAAACTCCTGCCATTGACTCCTTAACTGTGAGTTCATCATTGGTAATTAGCTGAAGACGATTGCTTCTGCCAGAAATGTCGCGACTCTTATACAAATGGAATGTGAAAATTACGTTGTGAAAAATGGAATGAAAAATTGATCTAACGTAATACGAACGTGGGAAAAATTATAACATATTTAATATAAAACATATAACATATTTAACAATCGAATGTAAAAATAATTCTGCAAAAATTGCAAATAAATTTGTTTGAAATTTATCTTATACGAAAATTGTATTAATACTCGGAAAATATTTGTTGTAATCGAGGAAGGGTGTATTTAAACAAATTTCAAAATATATCAAGGTGAGGAATAAATTAATATAATTCCATGTGAAATTCTTTTTGAATCAATTTCATTTTCAGTTTTTTAAATCAGTTTCAATTTTAAATTTCAGACCCGAGTATAATTCTAGCAGAAAAATGTAAGGTATGGTAATTATATGAACTTAGGAGAGAATCTAAACGATAAAGAAAATTGGCGTGGAGAAATTTGTACACGAGATGATGTAGTTGCTAATTTAAATGTCATGTACATCGAGATAGAAGACATTTTTAAATGAGATTCGCAGAGGGAATTTTGCCAAGGTCGTGGAATCTGACGAAAGCTCACGTCGAGGTTGGTTCCTTTGCCTTTTAATCTTTAATCTACGGATGTTTTTGCTCCATTTCGGCGGATTATCGTTCCTTGTACACGCGTAATTATACGCAGCCTCTTGTTCGCCATGGACAAATTATGCTAAATCGCGAGAACGGTGTAATCGTGCGATAAAAATTATCGGAGATCATTCGTGGACGCGTGTATGTCGCCGTGTTTGCTCTCTCGCGAAATCATCCTCTTCTGCAGTGTACTAATCGACTCGTTATGATACGTGGTTTCGATAGTGGAAGGACTTTCTGGCTGATAAGGAACGTGTACCTCGTATTACAGGATAAGTCGTGTCATCAGGATGTATTGCATCTTCGTATATGCATCTTTGATTTTGTTCGAATAGGAAGAATTATTTTTTAAAAATTAATAAATAATTTTTTAAATTTTCGTGCCTCTTAATTTTTCTTTTGTGCTCTATGACGTTTCTATAAAATTGATATTTCTAAGGATATTATTTCTGTGTAGGATATTTTAGTGAATAGTATTTTTATAATAGGTGTACTTAAAAATATTATTTTTGCAAAGAATATTCTCATAAATTCTAAAAGGCATATCTGAGAATATTAATTAATTAGAAAATAAAAGATCTCTCTAAATAAGATTTTAATAATAAATATCCCCAAAAGTACTAATTATTTTTGTGAATTAATAACTAATTTTTTAATGTTTCGTATTTGTTAATTTTTATTTTTTATTCTATAACGTTTCTAAAAATTGATATTTCTAAGGATATTATTTCTATATAGGATATTCTAATGAATAGAATTTTTATAATAGGTATACTTAAAAATATTATTTTTGCAAAGAATGTTCTCATAAATTCTAAAAGGCATATCTGAGAATATTAATTAATTAGTAAATAAAAAAGATTTCTCTGAATAAGATTTTAATAATAAATATCCCCAAATGTATTAATTATTTTTGTGAATTAATAACCAACATTTTTATTTTTCGTATTTCTTAATTTTTATTTTTTATTTTTTTGTATTTTTATAGAGGATATTCTAAAGAAGAGTATTTTTATAACAGGTATAGTTAAGAATATGATTTGTAAATAATAGATCCTTTAAATAAGTCTTTAACAATAATTATCCCGAAAAGTATTATTTATATAAAAGGTATGCCTAAAAATATTTCCATAAAAAAGGATTCTAAAATATTTCTTCAATATTTCCCATAATAAAATTTGTACATCTGCTATTACCTGAAAACACACGTTTCTTTTTACCATTTTATTTTAAAAAAAAGAAAGAAAAGGAACGGTATATTAGGAAAGTATTATATCACTTCCCTTTTTAATGCAACATTACATAAGAACAAGTGGAAAAAATGAAAAGTAATTTCGATTTACTTAATATCCACGTTCAATTTACATTCTAATGAATCTTGTCATTAGTCGCTTCCTTAAACCTACATTACTATTCATGTTCCTCGATGTATCCACGCAAGAGTTAGAAAGTACACGTACTATAATTGTATACATACAATCGTGTTCTAATTAAAGTGTTTACTACACGTACAACGTGTTTATGCGCGTGAATGTGTAATACTATAATGAAGATTTTCTGACAGCCTGCAATAGAGACCAAAACATGAATTATCTTCGCTGCGAGTGCAATGTATTCTGAAATAGAACTTTAACAATAACAGCAGATAACAACGTGAAATAATTCGTATCGATATAACCGGATCGAATAACTGCACACATTTACATCGAGAATCTACGTGTTACGTATAACTCAGCAATGTAACTAATTTAATCAATTTTCTACTCGATATTTATAAATAATTCATTTCTTTTTCTTCTAGTATCTACATAGAATATCTATACTGAGAAATTTATGCCTCCAGGCTTCCACAATCTTAAACAGGAAATAGCGTTAGAGTTTAATTCGCATTTAAAATAAAATGTAAAAAATTTTTAAAGTTGCCAAATATTGTAATTCCACTGAAAAATGTTTATTTCGATGAAGACAGAATTGAGGATCCCTAGAAATTAACGAAGGAAATAAGTCCATTACTTTTTAAGGAGCGCAGAAATCTCGTGAAAGTGGAAAGAAAATTGGTTAAAGAAACGATGAATGTAGCTCGGTTATAATAGAATTCCGGTTAGGTTTATGGGAAACGCAACATTACGTGGGGTTCTTCTATGCGTAACACCATTGCATAACTTCAACCTGGAATAGCACGCAAGACGGCAGCACATGCGTCATCGATAACCCTCGAGTCTAGACGTGAATCATCGAAAAAGTATTCGAAACTCGTACTTCGGTATTTCACGATTAACGACTGACTACTTTACGTGTAATACGAACATTATCATTCCTCAGTGTTCACACGTTCGTGAAATATTCACGTTCATCGTGAAAATCCTGTTTATAGCTTCTGTTTGCCACCAACGTCGAATTCCCGCGTTTTCTCGTTGATTTCGAATCGATATCTCTGACAATCATGATGATTCACCTTTTTTACATGAATTTTAATCTTCCCTGATTTTTTAAAATTAAATTCACGTCGTTTTCGCTATTATTATTACGTTTAATGAACACATTTCGTCTTGCAAACGTCGTTTGTTGTCACAGAGAGGAAAAGAAGCGAGGAAGACAAGATGGCGGCCGCCGGCGACTCGCGATAAATTTCTGAGCCCAAGATTTATAGCGGTAGAGGTCTGTTTATTAATTTGCTATCACAGAATGTCATTAACGTCTAGCCAACGAGGTTATGTGTTCATTCGACGACGCACTTATGCTTCGCATTTTTCACGCTGCACCCCGATACACTCCCGCCATTACGCAATTTATGGGACGCGTATACTGGGTGACCCATTTCGATTTACCAGAAAATTTATCTCGCTGTACCAGGTTAACGGATTAGAGCAACTGTGTTAGGTTAAGGGAACGCTTAATTCGTTCGATCTAATGCTAAAAACCGTCCAACTGCACATTTTTGAGGTTAGGATTCATTTTCTCGAGGATCCTTTCTGATACGTCGTTTTCGTGTATTTTTACATTTGCAATTGCGTGTTGTATTTCAATTTCGCAAATTATAATTCAATTTAAAACAAGATATGAATCAAACGCGATCAAGATTAACCAATAACTAGATATTTTTGAGGTTAGGATTCATTTTCTCGAGGATCCTTTGTGATACGTCGTTTTCGTGTATTTTTACATTTGCAATTGAGTGTTGCATTTCAATTTCGCAAATCATAATTCAATTTAAAACAAGATATGAATCAAACGCGATCAAGATTAACCAATAACTAGATATTTTTGAGGTTAGGATTCATTTTCTCGAGGATCCTTTGTGATACGTCGTTTTCGTGTATTTTTACACTTGCAATTGCGTATTGGATTTAAATTTGGCAAATTATAATTCAATTTAAAACAAGATATGAATCAAACAGGATCAATAACTAGATATTTTAGAGGTTAGGATTTATTTTCTGAAGCATCGTTAATAATATATCTTCTTGACGCACTTTTATATTTACATTATACGATCAGAATAAAATTAAATAAATTATGATTAAATTTGAATCATTATAAAAGGGATTAGAATTATTATAATTATCTTTTTGAACCTACGATATTCCCCTTCGATGTATCTTTATATTTATTTTGTATAATCGGAATTAAATCAGATAATTTGAACGAATTACATTCAAATTCGAGTAATTATAAAAGGGATTAAAATTGGTTATATATAAGAAGCTTTTAATTTTGTGTTTAATGAAACTTCTGATCATGCGTTATTCGGGATAATAATCTTGCAAATATTTCCTAGATTCGTGTTTTAAAATTTCGACCAAAGCTTTTATCTTATGTGGCATTTATACATTTTTATTTTCGCTATCAGCGATTTAATTGGCATTTAAGATAGAAAGACAAATTGGTCGGTTGTTTGGCGACATCTAGAAAAGAAAAATCACGTAAACATTGGTAAATAATTGTTGCGCGTTGCATCAGGCTCTTCAACGAAATATCGCCATACTGTGACGCGAATTTGTTTGCTTTTGATATCGTAGAACCATTCTCCATTTTGTACAAATTATACCAAATTAAACACGTCACTCAAATTTTTCCTATCGCATAAATTTTTGAGGATCGATTACAGGAGAAATCGAAATCATCATGGCGCTCCTAGTTAAATCTACAATATTAAAAATTTATCATTCGAAACTGGTTTTCGTGAACCGAGCTTGTAAATTTAAGATTAATTTCAGTCGAATAATCGAATATTTAAAATCTGTAAAACTTTTTCCATTTAATATCACGTTTCGATAATACTATCTCGAGAAAGTTACATCGATACTCCTTGTAGAATTTAATTCAATAACTCCATCATTGCACGATAAAATTTGCGCTGAAAACATTCGGAAAGACATTTTCTCTAAATTCGAATCGTTAATTAATTCCCGTGCGAAATTTTCGGCGTTATGGCGTTAAAATGGCGTTAAAATCTTCTCCCGTCCGCCATATTGTCACTCCCAGTCCAATACTTCGTACTTTTACTACGAAACGATGCAATGTAACGTTTAGCTGGAATCATTTACGATACTTAAGCTATCATTCGAAGACAGGAAGATTACTTGTTTTCGAGTCGGCTAACAGATTTATTTATAAATATTTGGAAAAAAGTCGTGGTGTCGATAAGCCCTCGGATCTGACTGACGTAACCGACGCCATAACGGGCCATTTTGCGTTCACGTTACACAATTTTACGACTCCTCTTTAAGCGTAATTTAAGCATAAAATCGCAACATTGGTGGTTCAGAAATTTCGGAAAAATTCGACAAGGGCTGGAAATCTTTCTCCGCGTGAACATAATTAACGAAACCAATGACTCGTCTGATCGGGCATGCTGCATTAATTGGTAATCGCTTGGCGATTTGAATTACAGCCTGTCACTCTGATTAAATTGCCGCGAACGCCTCGACGTGGCTCGAATAGTCTTTCAATGGTGAATTATCAGGATAATTTCTCGAACGGACTTTGCACCGTCGAACAAACGATCGCGAATTCTCAAGATCTCGGACGTTTCGTATCCTTCTATTTTTGCGTCTTCAATCTCCTTGCGTCGCCATTGTTTCCGTTTTCTTTCCGTAGACTCGTAAACAACGGAATTGCAAAATAACTCGAAGGCTTTGTAAGCTGACGTTAACATTGTCTTGGTAATCTTAATTCTCGTTATCTATGTAAACGAGAAAATAGCGGATTGAGCGAAAATCGAGTGAAGTAAATATCGAATATTGAGAAATTAGTAGATGAAACTTATTATTATACAGATTATCTCGACGTTGTGTAATGTACGTAATGTCGTGCAGTGTGATATCTTATTGTGTTAGGATTCTCTATTACCACACTGAGATAGTGTGTTTTTAATTCCAATATAACCTATCTAAAATTAAAAATTTTGTAATTAAAATTTAAAATTAATTTATTTATATTGAAATATCACTTAAAAATTAAACGTTGCATCCCTCGAGTCCCTATTTTTCGAGTACCATTGTATCTCATCGGAGTACGATTTTATTATTACTAAAAATTTTTAATCTTCAATTTCAACGCGAAAATAAAAGAATATAAATCGACTGTGTATAATTCTTTCTATAATTGTTACTTAATTATAGTTGTGATTGCAATGCTTTTAATTATAAAAGAATGTAATTGCGATGCTTTTAATTATAAAAGAAAAATTCCTAGGGACAATTGAAGAAATATTTTTCGTCACTCGTCGAAAATTTGACGAAGTTTTATCCGAAGTTCATTGAAGTGTGAGATAAGCTTGCAATTATGTAAGTAGTAATTCTGAATAACGAATGATGATATTTTAAAAATACATGCTTCGATGCTATGCGAAAATTTCTTAATGAAATTGATAACGTGTATTCATCTGTCCATATTTAACCCCAGCTCCACTCGATAAGCAATCGTTACATAGGAAATAAGTTGCATTGCTCGTGGAAAGCGTTTAATGAACGTGTTTCCTGTGTTGAACCAGTTTATCGACGTATATCAATTTTCTTACAGAAAACACACTTAATTAACTGTTATTTTTCTATGGAAAATTATATATATTCTTCCCTCCGTTTTTAAATCACGCGAGGAATTATTACAGTAATTATTAAGGACATTTAATAGTTTTTAAATTTGGTGGAAGGCATTTTTAAACTTATGCAAGTTTTCTTTATTTCCTTTTTATTTCGTGCTTATGGAAGAACAATCCATTATGGAATTTTTATTATTTCTAGATTCAAAATGAAGAATTTAGAAGATTACTATTGCAAAAGATTTAACAGAAATTCGCCTGACTTTTACAAATTTAGTTATAGGAAGATACCAGGGAATATAACGAGAATAATATTGTTTTTCGCGAGAATAATAATGATTGCATATTCTTTGTCTCGAGAATAATGATTGCATATTCTTTGTCACAATTTCTGAAAAACATTCTGGAAAGTCAAGTGAATAATTTATAATATTGTTACTGCAAGAAAAATTTAGAAAAGAAAACAAATTTATTCTGTAATTTTTGAATTTTCCTTACTAAAGAAAAAGAAAGTAGAAAATATGATGAAAACAATATATTTTTCACGAGAATAATTACAGTTAAGTATTCTTCAGCTAAAGCAAAATGCAGAGAATTTTCTAAAAAATTGGAATAAAGATCACCCCCAAAAAAAGAAGAAAAAGAAAAAAAGGAGAAAAGAGAAAAATCTTTCTATAACTTTCGAAACTTTCGCTACGATATAACAGAGAGTATAATAGATTACTTTTATCGTGCTTCAGATAGAAAACCAAGGAGAAAGCGAGTCAAGAATTAGGATAAAAATTTCCAAAATATTCTCTAAAATAATTTTTATGAAATGTCTCGTCGATCAGAGACATCAAATAATTATTAACGAATAGGAAAATTTTTATTTCTATTACACGATATTCTTTCTATACTTTTTCCAACGTTGCAAAGATAATTTCGATTCGCCATAGCGTTTTTCTTCCTGTCAACACGGTCGAACGCGACCCTCCTGTTATCTTCCACAAACTTCATTGATTACAATTTAAACGAATGTCATAAACTCGCGTAGGCTTGTGAAACTCAACTTATTTGCAAAATGCGAGGATAATTTCACGAATAATTATACGTTACGATATTTATTTATCCAATTACATCAAAAATCGAATATGAAACTTGCAGCTGCGTCTAACAATAAAAAGAAAACTCGTGTAACTAATAAACAAATTTAACGAAATATTAGTCAGAGAATGGGTAACTTCAAAATAATTTTAAATCTCGTAGAAGACAAGCTTTATCTTGCGATAGTACGTTTGCAGTAACTTCTCTATTGATAATACTGACTCTACTTCCCAATTTGTATACTCTGGGCTAGTCACAGATAAAGCCCCTTTCACACTGTTCACTTTAATCGTGGTTGATGCAACAGTGAGATTGAAACGCGAGTGTTTGCATGTTTTCTTTAAGAACAGCGAAGAAAATTGTTTACAAAAGATGTAAATATATTCATTGCAACAAAATGTTCGATATGTATAGTTACATTTAATCGATTAAGATGACCGTTTTGAATAGATGATTCTATCAAAGAAGAGTCGAAGGTCTGTTGATTTTTATCAATGATCGATTTGGTTGAGTATTTTAATTAAATTTTTTTCCGTTAGTTTGAACCGATGACGTGATCCGACCAAAACGGACCGTGTAAACCAGCCTTAACTCAGAAGGCAACAAACTAATGCCCTCCCTATCGCACAGGTCACGAGTGATCCATAATAGTCACGAAAATCTTCACATTAGTCATAAATGAATAAAGAATATCTCAGAAGCTTAATGGAAAAGTGGGACCGGGACATTTTTTCAAAAACAAAATCAACGGATACAGATAACGATATATAAGAACTCTATTTATCAACAAGATTTCGTCTTTCGTAAATTGAATCACGGATTGGAAATATAAGAACAAATTTAACCTCGTGTTTACTGTAATTAAGAATTTCGTCAATTACCCCCTTTATGACGCAACACCATCATTTCGTTCCTGAGAAAGGATATTCAAAGTATGTTCCAAAGAACTCTCTAAGTAAGCCTATCAACAAGGATTTTAAAAGAACCGAAATCCTGTTTAAAAAACCGAGACCCTAAATCCCTCATAGGCTACTGAAGAGTCTGCCAAACCTCCACTCTTCACTGACCAAACTTGATCCAAGAATCCTAATAGATTTAACCTATCGACAAGTATTGCAAAATAACCCAATCCCACTTAAAAATCTCTAAATCCTTCGTAGACTCCTCAAGAACATCCCAAGAACTCCACTCTTCTCTGACCAAACTTGATTCCAGAATTCTAATAGACCAATCCATCGACAAGGATTTTAAAGGAATCCAATTCCACTTAGAAACCTGAATACCTCATAGGCTACTGAAGAACATCCCAAAACCTCCACTTTCCACTGACCAAACTTGATTCAAGAATCTCAACAGACCAATCCATCGACAAGGATTTCAAAAGAGCCCAATTCCTCTTTGAAACCCTGAATCCCTCATAGACTACTGAATAACATTTCAATTTACCACTCTTCACTGTCCAGACTTGACTCAAGAATCCTAAAATTCTAAATCCTTCATAGACTCCTCGAGAACATCTCAAAACCTCCACTCTTCGTTATCCAAACTTGACTCAAGAATCCTAACAAACCAACCCTTCCACAAGTATCTGCAAAGAACCTAATCCCCCTGAAACCCCAAATCCTTCATAGACCCCTCAAGAACACTCCAAGCCTGTCTTCCTCGTAGACCAAACCTCAGCCACGAATCCCAATAGATCCAAGAACCCTAACAAACCTAACCTAACCTAACCAATTCACCAATTCACCCAAGACACCCACTCAAACCGTCAAGGAGCCCTTTCTACTCACCTCCTGAGGGTAGAACGGCGCCTGAAGCGACACGCAGATCGCGTTGGAGAAATCGGCGAGGCTGATGACCATCAGCGTCAACCATTGCCTCTTGGTGAATTGAGCCATCATCGTAACGGCCTCTCGTCCCAAACAGCTTGTCCAGCCGACAACCACAGCGTTCACGACCCTCTGTCTCGACGATTCGCGCGTTGGCTACCGTTTTCGTCGCGTTGCATCAGGAACCACCGGCACCAGGACCGATCAGTCGTCGACTGACTGCTCGTTGCCCGGTCCACCCTTATCACCAATGTCGTTCGACGTTCTCGCGGCGTGTGACAGCGACACCCGTTCGTTCCGGTTTGCTCTCGAAACGCTTGTGGCTCGGCAACCCGGGCAACCGGTTGCTTTTCAGCAACAGGGCTCTTCGGGGACAAACAGGAGCGAGGAAGAGGGAGCAAGCAGAGAGGTCAGAGGTCGAACGATACGTCCTACCACGCTTCTAATTCCCATTATCGGGCAACGTTGCGAGACTTCGACGTTCTTCTGACTCTTCCTCGAGCAGATGATTGCGACTGTGTCGTTGGTCGAGCTCGACCAACCGATTTTCTCCGTTCTTCGGGATGATCTGAACCTTTGATAGACGATCTATAGATTTCATATCTTCTTCCAAGATATAATTTCTTTGGGTCCTGATCACCGATTGGCTTTGATCAGTTTTGGCAGAGGTTTGGTTGATCCATAGAGGGAGTTACGAAGAAGCTGTTATTATTGTGGATGTTTGGAAAGACTGTGTGATTGGCTGCTGGGTTAAGCTTGGTTCATTCATGGGGAGAAGTTTCAGGAATTTGTTGGTAGAGGGACCTCTGAAGAATTCATCGTGGATTTTAATAATTGTGGATTTAATATTTATCGTGGAAAGGGAATATGATTGGCTGTTTTTAATTTGGTAGAGATTGGTTAATTGATGGAGGTAATTGGCCAAAATTTAAGAGACACATGTGATTGGTTGTAGTTAAATATATATTTGGAGTGAATTGATAGGAGGAACTTTTAGAAATTTATAGTAGAATATTTATATTGGGAGAAAGTGTGATTGGCTGACGTTTGAAATTAAATACATATATGGAGCTTAGTTGATTCATACTTCTGTGGGACTATGAGGAATTTCTGCTAGGAAATTTCTCAAGGAAATGTGATTGGTTGCTAAATATAAATCAACTTTTAGGGATTTTGTTTTTGATGACGATTCGTAAAATATTGTACAAGAAAATTGGTTTGTTTATGCATGAACATGTTTGATTATTTAATATCCAATTATCCGATGTGCAAAAATTTAATTTTGAGAAATGCCTGTTTCTATAGTAATAACATGTACACTGTGTACGGTTTCTAGATACTTCTAGTATTGACAAAGACGCCGTATCATCGACGTACCTTTGTAAACAAGAAACCACCAGAATCCTGACGCCTGTCTTGCGTTGTACACAGAAAATGTAATTATCTTGGAACCTCGAGATTCACCTTTCAACTGTTATCTAGCGAGTTCTAAACGTGACAAATTATTTACCCGAGCAGGCCGATAACTTAATTCCTTTATTTTCCCTTCCTTCTGCTATTTTCATCGAAATTTCGAATTTTGAGGAAACCACGAGTTCGTATTTGGACACCCAGAAATCGAGAATTCCTTGCTAATAGGCGATCTATTTACTTTGGGTGATGAATGGACATTGAAACGAGCAGCGGTTCTCAATCCGAATTCGAAAAATTTAACATTGGCCTATTTGCATATTATTGAAACCGAGTCACTTAAAATATTGCCCTGAATTTTTCTAACGACGATAGTAATGGTCATTTAAGAATAATTAAAATCTTCTTCGTATTCAATTAGTGTTTGATTAATATTGGATGAATTTTGAGGTTAGGGTAAGAAGATAAAGCTTCAGGTTATTCGAGGATGAAATCCAGTTATATTCTAGTAATACCATATATGAAACTAAAATTTCTATGCAGAGTATCATTCTTCCTAAATCTGTCTTCCATAACCTAAAAAATAACAAATACATTCCTGGTTGTTCGATTGTCCCACTCTCCGCACAGAAGGTGTATAATAACCTAACCTATACGACGATATATCATGGAGAAATGCAAAAGTCAAGCGAGAGATCATTGCACATTGAAATGAACGAGTACATTATGGAAAGCAGTAAGGTTTACAGTAGTTTTACTGAGATTGTCTGAACGTCGTTTGAACCTGAAACGCGGGCTTGACAAAATGGCGGGCGAAACTCCGCGAGTAGACGAATTAAAACAGAGAAATACGCGAGACTGACAGCTAAAGAATCTTTTTACACGAGGTATTTACACTGAATCATTCTCAAACCAGTTCAAACAACCAGAGTTCCAGCCCTAGCACCACCTCGACAGCAATGACGTTCACAGTCGATGATTCTTACAATAAAATTTCACTCTATCAATCCCTTCCGACTACCAGCGACCACAGGTGCACAGAAGTGTACGATACATACGAATTTGAACCCGTCAAATCATTAGTCCGTGGAGAAGCTGCACCGTTGAACGTCCATCTTGAACGCGATTCGTTTGATCCACGTTCGAAACGCGAAGCGACGAAAAAGCGAGGCTTTCTTCGAGACAACGTTCGTAGAAAGGACTGGTCCCAGGGAACTACGTGTCACGGAGCCAAACTTTCAATGGGACCTTGGTCAAAGCTTTGCCGATGAAATCCTTGAAGTGCTTCGCGATGCTAGCGCTGGCGGCTGGTCTCATCTCTTCGATGATCTCCTTCGCGTTCTGGTTCAGGAACTGATTCATCGCCTGGCCGATCACGTTGTCGCCGTTCAGCTGATCGACCACGCGGAATCGGGCCCTGCCAAGGCTGAAATCCACCAGCATCCGGGCTATCTTCAGGTAACGAACACCCTCGCGGACCTCCTCTGCTGCCTGGATGCGAGCGATCGCTAGAACGTCGCCTGGAAAATAAAATTTCCGATTTTTCGGATCTTTGTAAGGTTATCTGAAGATGAGAATTTTTGGGAAATTTAGGAGTGGGGGTTATTGAAGATTTTTGGACATTTCCTTCGAAAATGTCATTTTTCTTGGAGATCGTATATAGTAAAAAGAACAATGCCTGGAAAACAGGATTTCCAGTTTTTCGGATCTTTATAAGGTTCATGAGGAACAACGATATTAATTACAAAATGCATTGCATTTAATATTTGATATTAACACACTGCTACATTAGGTTGGCTAAAATTAAATAAATTTTAAGCAAATTATATCATAATTTTATAATTTTCCAGCATTTTGGTTTCTAACTTGTTGCTGTTCTGTGAGAATTATAAGTATAATTGCAATTAGCAACGTCGCCTGGAAAACAGGATTTCTAGTTTTTCGGATTTTTATAAGGTTATCTGAGAACGAGAATTTTTTAGAAAAATTTTGTTTGGTGCAGAGGAGGATTTTAAAACATTTGCCTTGGAAATGTCATTTTTCTTGAAGATTGTCTATAATGGAAAATTACTTAGAAAATTTTTGATGATTTCTTAGGGTCTTCCTTAAGGAGTTACTGAGGACAGGATTCTTGGAGGATCTTCTTTTCAGAAATTGGGAATTTTGTTATAGATCATGTGGAATGCAGAATTTTTTGGACACTCTTCTCTAAAATAATATTGCATAATAAGAGGTTTTATGCATTTTAGGTAATTTAGTATCATCCAATTTTCCATAAGAGAGTATACTATAATACTAGAGAATAATTTGAGACAGAAATTTTTCCAGAATTAATTACATGAATATTTCAGTAGAAAATTTTGTAGTAACCTTTTTAAAAAGTTAGGTAAGGAAGGTTAGGATTGTTCAAGGATATTTTAGAAAGTTGTCTGAAATAAAGATTCGTATATTTTATACAAATTTTGTTTTAAAAGTTGATAAAAATGGTAATGATTGTTCAAGGATATTTTAGAAAGTTGTCGAAAATAGTTCAAAACTGATCATCCATATATTTCATAAAAATTTTTTTAAAAAGTTGCTAGGATATTTTAGAAAATTCTCCAAAATAGAGATGTCTTAATTGGAAAATGACGATTTTCATATTTTCTAAAAATAAATTTCTGCGATATTGAAAGGATAAATTTAGGAAATTCTTTTTATGGAAATAAATTTCTGGATCAATCATGATGTTTAATCAAAGAAGCTTTTTGCATGACACGTGATTGTACGATATATATCAATAATTTTATATTCAAAAATGTGATCGACTCACCGAAAAGCGCCCAAAACTCGCCGTGGCTCTGAATGGGGAAGAGCAGCACGTTTCCTATGACTTCGTAGCTGCCTTGAAGTTCGATCTTCGGGAACGCCAAGTGAAGATCTAGCCTGTAAGACTGCACATCGATACGTGTCTTGCTAATCGTGTAATTTCCCGCCCCTATGACCGTGATATTGGAAAACAGAGCTCGAACTCGAACAGCTCCTTGGCCGTTCTCCATTCCTAATTCCGGAATAATTAGCGGTTCGATCGGTGGCACATCCAGTTCGGGGATACCTAAGAAATCGTTATTATGCGTAACCTTGGTATTTAACCAGAATTTTTCTTACTTCTGATGCCTGATATCTTAAATCTGAAATCTGGAAACTAATCATTTCTATAAAGCTACCGTGACTCATATCTGAAATATGATACCAATTTTCAGTGATAAATTTTCAAAAATTTGGAGCTTCTGTTCAAATGTACTTGAGAAATCCTATTTTTGTATAATATAAATATTTAATTGTTTAACACAAATTTTTAATACTTATCCAAAAAATTTGAAGCTAGGGAAATTATATTAAATTAATTAATTGTATTAAATTACTATAAAATGACGATTTGAATAATTAATAAATTTCGAAGAAGCTTGTTCTGATTCCAGATCTGAAATGTTTAAAATTTTTTGAAATTATGATTCTTTCTGACATAGATAAATAATTATTTGCAAATAAAATTTGTATTGCTCGTGAAAGAAATGTGAAAGTTGGGAATTAATAATCGCTGCAAAATGGTTGTTTGATTCCGATTTTAATGACGAATAAATCTTCAAAAATTTCATGTTGCTTTTTCTTTTAACATCTCTCGTTTGGTCGTTATATGTAACTTATTACGTTTCGTGTCTATTGTACTGGGAAAAAATTGAACATCCTAAATAACGGAAAAACCGCCAGTTTATATAAGGTCTTTAAGCAGAACGAAATTACACATACTAATTACTCGCACCTTATATAAATACTAAAGCCTGATGATGCTCATGAGCTTGTTATATAAAATACCTTCACTCCAGAGTGATTCCATACCGTACTCTTCACCTTTCAAACAACAAATTCACACCAATTTGCAATAGTGATAGAGCCACTTCAACATTAAGTACTTTCATATACAATTAACTCTTTGCACTCGACGACTTTTTCGTTACAGAAAAATAGCAATTCGAAGACTTTCTGTCATAGAGTAGACGATATTTTTAAAATGGTAAACGAGAAATCATATGCAAATTAAGACATAGAATTATTTTTCTTCCACATTCCACACATCGTTGGGTAATTTTAAATTTGATATATTAATTAACGTCGATCTTTGGAATCTAATTAAATGGTGACTGAGAGTCACCTCTCGAGTGCAAAGGGTTCAAAATTGTTTCCAAATCTCGATCAAAGGTTCCCAAAAAATCCTGCGAAGTCTATCACACGAGCCTAACGACCCCTCCCAAATCTTTTTGGCATATATCATTCCCAAAAAAGCATTAAAAATTCTTTTCAAACCTCGATCAAAGATTCCCAAAAATCACTGCAGAGGATCACACAATTCTAACAATCTGTCCCAAACCTCTTCATCTTATATTATTCCCAAGAAATATTAACCCTTTGCACTCGACGACTTTTTCGTTACAGAAAAATAGCAATTCGAAGACTTTCTGTCATAGAGTGGACGATATTTTTAAAATGGTAAATGAGAAATCATATGCAAATTAAGACGTAGAATTATTTTTCTTTCACATTCCACACATCGTTGGGTAATTTTAAATTTGATATATTAATTAACGTCGATCTTTGGAATCTGATTAAATGGTGACTGAGAGTCACCTCTCGAGTGCAAAGGGTTAAATACCTTTAAAAATAATTCAACACAGTTTAACACGATACACTATCCCTACCCTTATGATGTAAGAATATTCCACACACAATGTTACACGGTACACGATTTTTACTGTTTTATTCTAATAATAAATCAAATTAATTATTAATAATTACCATAATTGTAGTAATAATTATCCAAATTTGATTTAAAAAATTCGCAATTGGTTAAATTTAATTATTTCTGGTAGCAAGAAATTTTTGACCGAAAGTTTTCTACTCACCCTTTAGTAAATATGGCTGCAGATGGTTCAACGTCTTCTGAAAGCACGCGTCTATCTTGGGATCCGACCTACTGCACGGTAATATGTACTCGGCTGTGAAAAACGAAGAATTTTGAAAGCATAGACTCGCAAATGAAATTTTTCAGTCACGCGATCGCGACTTCGTTCGCCAGCATGGCGCGCGTCTTCCTACTTCCAGTACCTTTATGCAACCACTCTCACTTCCGGTGTCTTTGGAAAATTAGTCCAATTTCTCGGACACTTTACCCTTTCCGTGTCAACTCTCGGTGTTAATTACACGTTCTACAATTATACGGTATTTTACGTTTGTTTAACGATTATACACGCTTTCAAAGTATCTACTCGTCTTTCTTTGTTCATTTTTCATTGAGTGCACAATGGTGGAAAAAGAAAATGGATGAACTGAACGTGAAAAGACATAATTCTGTAAAAATAATGAACCTTGAATTACGACAGAGAAGAATGTTCTGTTGGATGAATTATTTATCCTTTTAAAAGAGAAATTTTAATCTAAAAATTTAATAAATTATTATTTATCCTTTTTCTATACTTAGAAAAATTGGAGAAATTATTTCGACAGAAGAAAATTATGAATATTTGCAAATTTGTTGATACAAATAATGGTGTTTCCTTTTCTCATCTTTATGCAAATTGAATCGAGAAAATTGAACCGAATACCAAATTTTGGAATAGGTTATGGTTAATGTATCAGGGTGATTCTGCCTCGTGATATATTTCTCAAATTCGTGAAGATTTTGTTACTCTTTATCATTCATGCTGTCATCAAGGTTAACCCTAGTGAATGCGCTTTTCCCTCATAAGAATGCAAAACACTGTTCGGCTCACAGCCGATCGATCTTGACACACAATTCGATTCGACGCTCATAGAATCTTTTAAATACTCCTCGAAGTAATTGTTGACACCCTGAGGTATAAAACAAATCAATAAATTTTACGTAATAAAGAATAATACTTCATCAAAATAATTTTCAACTTTAGTAAATTAATTTCCAAATAAATAACAATTTTTAAAATGTTTTTGAAATAGATTAAATTTTCTAACCTAATTTCCAAATGAATTAAATTTTTTAAATCAATCTTTGAATAATTTAAATCCCCTAAACTAATTTCCAAATGAACTAAATTTTCCAATAATCTAAATTTTCTAAATTAATTTCCAAATAAATTGAATTCTCCAGGTAAATTACACTTATTAAATTAAATAAACTGCAACAATACTAAATGAATACTTTTTTGCTTAAAAAGAGAGAAAGCTACGATTGGTCACACTGTTTCCACTAGGAAAAAAATGAATGCGAATTAATAATAGTCAGAAATAAATCACTCCACGTGAATTGATGATGTAACAGTAAGACACAGTTCAGTATCGAGCAGAAACAAAAATATATAAAATGTAGACACACGAATACACAGTATAATTTCGAAGATACATAACACCATAGAAAAATAACAATAAACTTCATCAAGAAACGACTTCCTGTGTTCAAATCATTCCTGACTATTTTACAATGCAATTTTGCTCAAACACGTGGTATGATTTATTTCCCTGTAACACAGAAACCGCGTTTCTACCAACGAATTCCCCAAAACGTCGAATGGCAACCAATCACGATGATTACACCACTGTTATATCAGAGAAAATTTATGACACTCAGTTTTCGCTACTTTCTTTCTCCCTACGTCATAAAGAACTCACTGAGAACTCGTAGATTTCCTGTTCATACCGGAATTTACTATTTCCTTTCCTTCACTCTCCCTCTACTATAAAATCATTTATTTATCCGTCGAATGATAATCGAGCAGTGAAATAGTTCCTCGACTTTCAAATTTACGTTGTTAACCATAAAATGTATCAGCTCGTTATAGTCTGCTTTTGCATTTGGCTATTTTCACGTTTTAATGGACGAAAAATAACTAAGATTTCAGATATTTTATTTTTGCAATTTTTAGAAATATGATACAATCGATATTAATTTTTATCCAAAAAGGAACTTAACTCTGAAAATATGGTACAATCGATATCAATTTTTATGCAAATAGGAACTTAACTCTGAAAATATAGTACAATCGATATCAATTTTTATCCAAATAGGAACTTAACTTCTACTATTTTTATTTATTCTATTTTTATGATAATAATTTCGTATTACATAATAGATTGATATTTTGAGCCTTGCAATATTTAATAAATTCATGTAAAATTTTTAAAATTTTCGAGAGAAATTTCTTTGTTATTTTAAACGTATTAATTTCAAGAAAGAAAATTAGGGCGATTTTTATTTATATTTCCTTCGATGGTTTCTTTAAACGGGAAGTTAATAACCTCGGTTAAGTAACACGAAGTAAATTAAACGATCGTAAATGTAAATGAGTAGAAACTCTAAATAATGGAACTTAGTAGGTTAATGAATTCCAGAAGAGTCGCTTAGAGGGACTAAATGCGAGACACGCGGAAACGTTTGCGAGTGAGTTCAACGCGTGGAGTGCCATGAATGCAATATGGCGTGCCATCAATCCTCGATACACAGAGAAACCGTGCAGAATACAGGTGCTTTTAAATGAACACGAAGAGCTAATTTCTGTGGAATTTTCTTGTGAATTATTACGTGCGGCATTCTGACCGATATTATAGCGTTAATACCGAAAACCTAATTTAGAAACCTAATTTTATTTGATAAATCGGTGATCAACTTGTTGATGAGGTACAACGATATTAATTACAAAATGCACTGCATCTAATATTAGATATTAACACACTGCTACACTAGGTTGGCCAATAATAAATAAATTTTAAGCAAATTATATCATAATTTTATAATTTTCCATTATTTTTAATGCAATGCTATTTAATAAAATTTTGTTATTTATTTGTTACATGAATTTTATTAAATAATATATATTTTGGTTTTTAATTTGTTGCTGTTCTGTGAGAATTATAAGTATAATTGCAATTAACGTGTGATTATATTTAACAGACTAGGGTACTTCTTATTAGCCAACCCAATTGGATTCTAAGTATTTACACTTTTCAGTATTATTCAATTGAATCAAGCAAATTAAAACTCTCATTCGATGATGTCAATCATTTAACGAGCATCGATATACGTAACAGACCCGCAGTTTCTCCTATTAATTTCCAGTTGCATAAAACCGTTCAAAAGAATGATTGATATCAATCCTAAGGATACTATAACTGACTATACACTAATACCATACGTGTCTCAAAGCAACTATCACATAAAAACATTCAACCTTCTCTACTGAATTTAAAAATACTCCTAATTCCACGAGAATAATCTCATATTTTATCCATATCCTTTTAACATAAATTACAATAATACAGTAATATATTATACAATTTAATTCCATCTTTGTCTCCAACAAAAATAAAGAAATAAGATGAATTCCTCTATCAAAACCCACTACCACATGAAAACATTCAGCCTTTACTACTGATTGTGAGCTTAAGAATACTCTTAATCCCATACTTTATCCATATCCTTTTAACATAAATTACAATAATACAATAATATATTACAAACTTTAATTTCATCTTTATCTCAAAAAAAAAAATAAATAAATAAAATGAATTCCTCTATCAAAACCCCCTACCACATGAAAACATTCCGCCTTTACTACTGAGCTTAAAAATACTCTTAATCCGATACTTTATCCATATCCTTTTAACATAAATTACAATAATGCAATAATATATTACCAACTTTAATGCCATCTTTGTCTCAAAAAAGAAAGGCAAGAGGATATAAATTCCTCGACAACGTCATATCTACAGCTGACCATCAGCCACCATCACGGATCCACGATTTTCTCATAAGCAGCAAAGCCAGCGCGATAAATCGGCCAATTGGGCTGCAGACCCATATTGAAAAGCGCTGGACGATGATCGGCGTCGTGCCACACAAGGTCCACGTTCAGCCGAAGAATCTGGACCGTTCGATGCACCGGCCCGGTTGCGTGTACGCTTTCACTCTCGAGGAATCGCGGGTCCGATTCGTGCGAGGACGAGCGTGTCGCTGCTCGAGGATACGCCATCGTAAGACCGGCTCTAAGCGTCGACCGCGCCGCCACTTTCTCCGGCCGATTGCCGATCCACGGGCCCGTTATGCAATCTCTGACATAACCTTCGCCACGCCATCGGGCGCCGTTACGCCATGCCCGCTACCATTACGTTGGACGCGGTGACCAACGCGAGATCCGCGTCTAGAATTCTTCCACTCCGTCACCTGACGCCCCTAGCTCCTCGTCGAAACGGAGATCCAATGATTTTATAAAAGGAAAATTAGGCTGACGTGTTTATATGCCTCGAAGGGGGTACCACGTGGTGTAAGATTTCGATTTTTCGCAGGGACTTAAGGAGGATCGTGGAGATCATTGAAGGCATGGTTGAGATCTCCTGTGTGATCTGATGAAACGCTGAATAGAGAATTTTGTGATGTTTTTGTTAATGAATTTTGGAAATTGCGAGAAATTTTTTGAATTATTTTGGATTGGAGACCCTATGTTGATAAAAATTGGCGTTTCGTATTGTTCAGCTCGATTATGTAATACGAGGAACTCGTTATTGGGTAGGGATTTTGATAAGGTAGCTTGTGGAAATGAGGTTAGGGTGGTACTTATGACAGGGAGTAGGTCTCGAGGATTATGAAGATGTGAAGAGGTTAGGTTCAAATCGTCGCCATTTTGTAACGAATCGATGCTTTACATTGCTCATATCCATTTGTAGCATGAGGATCTTATTATTAGATAGGGATTTTGATAAGGTATCTTGTTGGAACGAGGTTAGGTGATAATTAAGATAGTAAGTAGATCTTGGGGATTATGAGGAAGGTTGTGAAGAGGATTGAAGAGGTTAGGTTGACAACTCGACGTTTTCAATTCTTCATCTTGGCTACCTAACCTAAAAATCCGTATACTATATAGGAATTTTGACAGAGGACCTTTGATAGTCTTTGACAATTGTGAGGAGGAATTGTTATCGTCAAGGATTGTGAAGAAGATAATCAGTAATTGAACAGAGTATCCTGAGAGGTTGGGTGTGTTTAGGTTATGTTTGGATTCGATCAATGCTTGAAATAGTTTTGGGACAGGTTCGAAGGTTAAGTAAAGGTTAGGTTTATTTTAATACCGAGGATTATCATAGATGAACCTGACACTAAGGTTTTTCTTTTAAATTATGGTTGATATTTTTAAAAAAGAATAATAATTTTTGAGAACGTATTTACTAGTGGAATAATTGTGAGATATTCGATACTCCAAGAGTTGTTAAGAAATACTTTTTAAATATTATATTTCAAATATTGTATAATTATAGTGACGAATAATATACCCATTTTCACAGAGTAATTAATAATTGATACTCCTGAGGATGATTTCTAATATTTACCTTTGGAATAATTTAATATCGAGATCAAGGAGACTTCTCGAGAAGTATAAATATATCGCATAAATTTCTCGAGAAAAATAACACGATATTTGAGTCATCGGCAGTTTCTGTGCTATAAACAAAGAATAGTTTCAAACGAGTTCAAAGCTCCACTGAATAGCTGTGAAGCTGTTTGTCAAAGGAACAAAGAAAAGAACTGAAGACATTTCTAAATACTATGTCTGCTTGAGAGAATCATTGTACACGGTAATTTTCCTTTACAAAGGACACGAATCTGCCTTGCAAATACGACGAGGAATCCGTCGTCATCGCGACGAGGTTGAAAATTCGACCTTCGAACAGGGCAACGACGAAACAGGAAAATTCGTTCCACGACAGATTGCCACAGATATGCGATTTCCTCTTGCTCGATTCATGCGTAGAAAGAGAAAGTGCTATATCGAGGAAATGTCAAGAAAAATATTTAATCTGGTGTTCGTACCATTTTTTAAATTCTTTCATAAGAATTCTACAATTTTTAATTCCAATTTAATCGAACTTGAAATTTATATTCGTACGTTCTACGGTTTTTAAAATTCTTGAAATTTCCATGAAAAAGTGCTTCAAATTCTACTGTTACTAACTTATTTTACTATTATTCTTATTAGCGACTTCAATGCTGAAATTTACAGTCGAAATGTTGTCAATTCCAACATCGAAATTTACTTAATTTTATTTTTCTAAATTCTCCAAATTTTTCTCTGTTTTTTCTATCTCTGCAAATTTCCCAATTTTCCAATCTTTACAAATTTCCCAGTTTTCCAATACTTACACATTTCCCAATTTTCCCATCTTTGCAAATTTCCCAATTTTCCCATATTTACAAATTTCCCAATTTCCCAAACTTTGTAAATTTCCCAATTTTCCCATCTTTACAAATTTCCCAATTTTTCTCTATTTCTCCCATTTCTGCAAATTTCACCAATTTCCCAGTTTTCTTCTATTTTTCCTAATTACAAAAATTTCCCAATTTTCCAATCTTTACAAATTTTTCAATTTTCCTCTATTTTTCCTATCTCTGAAAATTTCCCAATCTTCTAATCTTTACAAATTTCCCAATTTTCCATTTTCCCTGCTTCCTCTATTTTCCCAAATTTCTTCAATTTTCCAGGCTTCCCAGATTTTCTAAATTTTCCGAATTTTATTTCCCGTACCTATTCACTCCATAACCAAAACTTCTCAAAATCCTGTCACCGAAATTTCCCAAACGACGCTCCCCAATTTCCCAGAAATTGCCAAAATAGCAATTTTCAAGTAACAATAGAAGCAAGATAATAAATTGGCGAGAAAATAACCGAAGGACATGATGAAAATTCGGCGGACATCCGCGTCAGACAATTGGCCCGGAAAATGGGAAAAACGTTTGTCACCGAAGGGAAACGCGTGCAACGCAACACGCTTCCGCGATATAATCGTTTCCCACAATTGCCCTGCGCGTGCAAAGAGAAAGGCAGATACGCTGAATGATCGTAAAAGGAAAACACGAGGATTAATTACTCGCTCGTAACGCAATTTAACTCACTGAGTTAGCCGGTTACGTGTGCCGTTGTTGGATCGAGCTGTTCGCTAATCGAACGACACTTATCTCGCGTAATCCTGAAACCTCCCGGAATCCGAAAAAAAAGGAGAAACATCAGACGCAGAGCCAGCATGAAAGCATGTCATTACCGAGCCAATTACCTTCGCGCATCTCAACGAGGACCCGGCATCTAAACGCATCCACGGATCGGACATTGGAAAGTGATTGCATAATGACACTCGTGGTATTATTAAATGTCACCATCTTTCGACTCTTCGACTACCAGTGTGTCACTTAGCGACTGCCACCGTTGAACTAGTTCGAGAAATCGACAAGCTTCCTTTACGAGGTCGTCGTTGACACGAAAGTAGACGAAGACACGTGTGCACCACAACGTTAGCGGAAAAATGGCACTGAAGAGGCTTACGGATCTCGAAGTCGGGCTCGTTCAACGAAGGATTGCTCTGTTCGTCAGAGGACACGAGTTCTCCCGAGAACAGTCCAACAACCACCGCACAGAGTATCCTACGCTGCAGGATCATCGCTGGAGAACTTCGACCTCTGTGGAGGCCCACTGCTGGAGCAAGATTGGTCCTTTTGAATCTTCGATTACGTTTCTCGAAATATTTCTGAATTTATTTCAAATACTCCCGAATATTTTCTCAATTTTTCGGAATTTTTCTCTATTTTTTCTTTTGACGAAGTATTACAAATTTTGGAACGTGAGATCCTGTTCGAGGTATCCAATGGTCCTTGGTACTTGGTCCCTTTGGGTATTAGATGTGAGAATACACTATTTGACTTTAGGCTTGTCTCGATACACCGATTCACTGATTTTTGGTTTATTTTGTTTCTTCCTTTTGGAATTTTCGCCGGCTTTTGATGGTCAATTGGTGGAGGAGAAGGTGGAAAGCGAATGTGGATCGAGATGAGGGATCGGGGTGATGGCTGGGTGGATCGATTCTCGTAAACTAAACACGGGTTCCCTTCGTATTCTGTCTTATATGCGAGCGTTCCCCTACTCTCAGGACTTCTGTTCGGCTTTAAACGCCATCACGGATTCGACTCTTTCTATTTCTTTCAGGTGGAATTGATGCGCTTTGATTCGTCGTTTTGGGGACCAATTTTTGGCAAGAGCTTGCAAATTATTCTCCTTTTTATTTTTTATTTCAATTTGGTACCTTGTAATTTGTTTAAGAGGTTATTTGAGAGATTAATTCGAAGAAGGATTATTGTTTACTAACAGATTCAGGATCTAAATCTTCTTATTTTATTATAGATACTATATGTAGAGAAATTTTTGGTGAAAGTTTGAAAATTATTTATCTTTTTTCATTTTTGCTTGATACTTTATTCATTTTATTTATAGGGTGATGGATGATGATTATTTTAATTGTTCGTTATATTAATTATTATTCAAGAAAATTTTATTTTATTATAGGTACTATATGTGGAGAAATTTTTGGTGAAAGTTTCAAAATTATTTATCTTTTTTCATTTTTGCTTGATACTTTATTAATTTTATTTATTGGGCATTTAATTGTTCCTTGTATTTAATTATTATTCAAGAAAATAAGTTGAAGGAAAATTATTGTTTATTAACTGATTTGTGATCTTAATCTATTCATTTTATATTTTCTGTATCTTTCATTTATTTGCTATTTATTTACATGTATTTTTAAATTTGTTTTCGTTGATTTCAAATTTATAGAGTTGCTAGCTGCTACCTAAATTAATTTCAATTTTTACTTCTTTTTACTGCTTGAATATTAATGAATTTCCTGATGGAAACATATATAACAAAATATTAATCACATTTTTATACAAATTCGTTAACAAATATGACAGAATTCTACGAAATAATTATTACTTTTCTCACATGAATTTTTCATACATTTCCAATTAAATTAATTACACACTGTAAAAGGTCTGAACCCCTCTCTCTTATATAGACCATTACAGTATTGCAATACCTTTAATAAAAAATAACACAGAGAAATATTGAAAAAAGGGAAGGAAAGAAATATGAGAACCTTCTATTAATTCCTGGTAATGTCACCAATCAACCATTTCAGTTCCTGTCACAAGGCTACCATTATGCATTGACGTTCCCTCGAAGAACCATAGACAGATTTAGAGCAACGCTTGACGTTTCAGGTTCACCGTGGTTCAATTTTGTAATCGAATTTACCCGTTACAGGCGACACTTTATTTTCAGAGTCTCCCATTGCGCAATTCGCGGTGAACGCTAGGAAACATAATAGTCAGGCCCAGAAAAGTGTATGTGCAGTGCCAAATGAATGATGTACTTTGCGTAACCGCGCTTTGCCGGATCATTGCGAGAGTTCTACATCATTCAAACGACCTATTACAAGCATTTTAATGACATTAATCCCAGCTGGCATTGCGAAACCATTTTGCTTCGTCCGTCCACGCTCTTCATTGTGATTTCAGTCACCTGGTTCTACGCCATTGTTTCCCGGTTGCATTTTCATCAATGACGAAAGATGTTCTTTAAAACCACAGGATCAATGGAAATTAACGAAAAAGTAAATTAAACGGAAATAAATTATTTCTCATGAAATGGTAATAAATTGTCATTATAATTGAAGATACTTGTTATATTAAATACTAATTTCAAGTACTTGAATTATCGATTTTCTTCGTTTTTTGATAAGGAGTTTGAATTTTTGTGAAATTAGAAAATATTTTTGATCGCTTCTTGAATTTTTCACAATTTTTCATGCTTCGAAATTTAATAATTAGAGGATCCCTTGTGTTGTAATCCTTTTTTGAATTTTTTCAGAATTTCAATAGTTCGCTGATTGATCGTTCTTTGTGGTAAAATTCAATTATTATTATTACCTTTTTATTTATTAGTATGAAATCTGATTTTCTTGCAGGAAAATTGAATTTTTATAAAATTCCGCCAGTTTTTCATTAGTATTTGAATTTCTCACAATTTTTGGTACTTCTGTAAATTTTAATAATTCTTTTTGAGAAAATGCAATAACTAATACATTTCTCATTTTCTGATTTTTCTGATTTTTCCGAAATTTATTGCAAATTTCGATATTTTAATGATTATCTATTCCTCGTCGTAAAATTTAATTGTTATTATTCCTTTGCCCTTTACTATTGCAAAATCTAGGTAAATCGAATTTAGTAACGTGTTAATTCAGAAAATTAATTAATTTTGCGACGTTGATGATTAGAAGACAGGTTTTAATTATGCGTGTCATAAATTTGTACTAAGAATAGGTCGATTAGTGTGAGATTAAAGAAGAAACTCGGGCTAAGTGACCATTATGTTAAAGTTTATGGTTTATTTTAAGTCACTGTTGGTGGATATTAATGGCTGATAACAGTAAGTCACGATTTTCTGTTCGTTGCATAGCTGGCCATGAATTTCTAATGCGGCATTGTCTTTTCGAATTGGTCCTTGATGAGGATCGTGCACTGCATGCGCGACAAATTTACTCGGAAATGAGCGACAAAGAAAGCTGCATTTTGCAAGACATTCTTCATTTTGACGAAAAATAATTTCTTTAATCAACGAGCTTCTAAAAACATTGAAAAAGATTCCTCGAAAATTAATTACAGATTGCAAATGAAAATAAATTACAAATACAAATATAACAATTACAAATAAATTACAAATACAAATATAATAATTACAAATACAAATATAATAATTACAAATAAATTACAAATACAAATATAATAATTACAAATAAATTACAAATACAAATATAATAATTAAAAATAAATTACAAATATAAATAAATCTCAAAGACTTCACACAGTATCAGGAAAAATAATTGTAAACAATAAAACATTTTATTAATTCATTAATAAAAATTGATGAAGAAATAAATATTAATTTATATAAATTTTGATATAAAATTATTTCGAATTTTATTCTTGAATGTATTATGTGATTTAAATCACGTGAATATTTTATTTGAACAAAATAGCTATAGCTATTTGAGAGTGTTGCATTATCCTTTGCTAATCCAGTCTTCCATTTTCGTCAAAGAAATATGTAAGTAGGTGATACTCGAGTAAATATTTCACAAAGCTATTCCAGCAATGATGAACCTGTTCGTTGTTTGGACACCTTGAAACAGTTGGACGTTTCATAGCCTTTGGAGAAATTCCGAAAGAACTTGTCGCTGTTACCCAATCTGTAACTCACAAGAAACCAAGTGTCGACATCCACACTCTTTGACCCCCCTGTTGGGTCACTCAATTTATACGTCTTCCCAATGTAAATTTCCTCCCCTCCAAACACAGAATTCTCCATAAATGCGAATTGAAAAGAATAGATTTCCTTTAAAAAGAAAATACACTAAAAGAAATACACCAAATTTCAGCAAATTAATTTTTACATCACATTACACTGTATTACACCGTATTTTAACACCGTGTCACACTTTGCACGAGAAATACCAAAAAATTGCAATTATAAATTTTATTTCGAATAATCACTTTGGTCATAAACTGATTGTTAAAATTTTAAAAAATTTATTAAAAATTTCAAAGGTATTGTAAAAATTAGTATCGAAGAAAAATAATAAAAATACGAAACAGAAAATGGACTTGCAATTAAAGAATCGAGAAATCGGATACACATCCTATATTACACTTTATATAAGAAGCAATCAAGAGTTAGCATTGCGAGTTTTATTATGAGGGATTATTTCAATCGCGGACTGATTATGTAAAATTTAGAGATATTACGAAAATGGGTATCGAAGAAAGTAAGTAAAGATTAAAATGTGAAATGAAACACGTAGATTTCATATAATTAAAAAAGAGAGAGGGAAAAGAAAATTCAATTTTATTTATATTTATTTATTTATTTTTATATTTTATTTAATTATTTTACACGAGGAATAAGTACAATTGGCATTACGAATTTCGTAATTCATTTCCATTTCGATTCTTCGGACTGGTTGCTCGTGAACTGATCACTCGAGATTGGGTAAAGGGTACAAAATGTAAAACAGAAAGGGAAAACAGGTTCGGAATTGAAACGAAAAAAGGAAATCGAGGAGCCCAATTTTGCTGAATTTATTTTTACGTATCTCATGTTACACTTTGTATAAGAAGCGTTCAGAAGTCATTGTAAATTTCGTTTTGAATCATCGATTGAATTATCGATTGTGACGTATTACAGAAATAAATATCAGAGAATGCAAAAATGGTCCGAAATACGTGCAAATTCCCACCAAAGGAAAATTATGAATGCGTTACGTTGTACTCGCCTCCGGTGCATTTCGCGAACGTGACTATATTTTTACCAGGTACGAAGCCTTTTAAAGGCTGATTTCTTGCGGTACTGTCACAGGGCAGTTACATACGATATTATGGGTCCTCGTTGACCGTCTAAAGTACCAGTATTCGCTTCTTTATTTGGTTAATTTTTAATTTGGAAGTTTTGTTCCTTTAGTTAATTTTTAATTTGGAAGTTTCGTTTGCTTACTAAATTTTTATATGGGATTTTGGTTCGTTTGATTAATTTTTAATTTGGAATTTTTATTCACTTGGTTAATTT